CCCCTTCTGGGAGGGAGTGTGTGCAATTGCAAGGCACTCGGACCCGCCTATGCTGATCCCAGCATGTGTTTCCTGTATGGAAATGCTTAGAGTAGTGCAGTGGGCTTACAGTAAGTGTGTGTGTGTGTGTGTCTGAGCAAGTACAAGCGAGACAGAAAGGAAGGGAGAGACAGAACGAGCGAGGGCATATCCAAGGGGATCAAACCTAAACCACAGGATATTTCTGACCTTGAGGGCGAGCGGGTAGAGCAGGGAGGCGGGAGGGGGGATGAAGGGAAGGAACAAAGAGATGGAGGGAGAAAAAGAGAGGAGGGAGGAAGAGAAAGAGAGGAGCGGAGTCTTTGGAGGGCAGCTGGAAATCCTCCAGAATCCTCTGCTCAAACCAACCATAAAATTCCAACTGAAGCCACAAAACCAGTATGAGGACTGACGAGGTTGCCTTCTGCCCACAGTGGGTGTGTGTGTGTGTGTGTGTGTCTGGGTTTGTGTGTGTCTGTGGTGTGCACACATTTACTTCTGTGTGCGTGCGTGTGTGTGTGTGCCATATGTGATTAAAGGGTCCGAGCAGAGGAGGCCAGGAGGCAGACGAGTGATGCAATCCACGGAAGCGAAGGAGAGGACACGAGGGCGGCAGGAAGGAAGGGAGGGAAGAGAGGAAGGAGGAATTGTTGCTTCTGGGGATCCAGCTCTCCAGGAATGTGCTGATGGTCATGTCCCACGCAGTCGGGGAGAGTGTTGCATTGTGGGAAACTCTGCGGAGGTGACACCACCTGTTTTAGTGTGCTACAGATTGCAAACGGATGTTAAAGTCACACATTATAAAAGGGATAGACTTTGTGAGTCACTATTGTTAATTTTCAAAGGAACAACAATGGTGCAAACTGGTCTCTCTCACTGCAGGCTAGAGGCCCGAATCCACCCTCACACAGCAGCAGAGATCTATTTTGGTGCAAGCTACTCAATGTCCATAAGCACCCACACAAGCTCAGTGGGTAAGGTGATTGGTAAGTCCGGACAAATAGTCTATTTATGAGCATCGCAAGAGTGGGTGGTTGTCCTTGAGCTGGTTTGTCTGCCGTCTGAAGTGCAAAGTGCTGTATACAGTTACAATAGATAGAACATTCACAAGGACGAGTGAAGGTGGAGAGGGGGTGGGGGAGGGAGGGTGAGTGTGAGAGAGCACTGGGAATAGAGATGGTGAGTCAGAGGCCATTTGGAAAGTAATTTCATCTCTGAATGCTGTATATCTTTTCATCAATGAAAGGAAAGTATTTTCCGAACCAGGCAGGCAAAAGAAGAAAAACATCTCTGTTTGGTGAAATGGAGCCTATTCGAGGACAGATACCATTCACAGGTTATTCTTGCACTGTATTTATTTCATGTAGGTGAAGCTGATTGTCACAATACACTGCAGTGGAAGAAGTTCAGAACAAGACTAACAGTCTACAGCCATGCTGCTAACACTCTGTGTACTGTGTTCACCATTTTAGCTTTGCATGTTAGCAAACTAACATTTGCTAATTATCATTAAACATAAAGCAAAACTGAGGCTGTCATTCATTTTGAAAGTACTTGGTCATAAACCAAAGTTTTGCTAATTTTAATTTTGACTAGATGATGGCACAAGATGAAAAGTCTCCCAAGTCATTAGGATTCTGGGCTCTATGAATATCTGCACTAAATTTTATGACAATCCATCCCATAGTTTTTTAATATTTCAGTCTGAACAAAAGTGGTGGACAGACAGAGTGGTGGGACCCCCAGATCCCTGGAGCCACGCCATTAAGATTTTGACCTTTGTTGCCAGCTTATATTTGGTCATGTGTGAGGCCGTGTCCTTTGGTTTAAAAAAAAATGTGTGTTCTCATCAGTCTTAGCCAAGAAGAAGCACATTTCCACTTTATGGCCCGAAGAGTCTTCCGCAATTTTTGTGAATCATTGGTTTCATATGTCCTTATGTTACTTTGCGGTTTTAGGGGTTCCAGCGATATTCTGGATAGGCTGAATGCGGTGTGGCATCCAGCCAGTGAAAAAGGAAGAGAGAAGGGGGGGAAGGGGAAGGGAGTGAGGTTGACGTGTTAGAAGAGACTACCACAGACAGGTCTGGACTGCTGTGTGTATCCTGGCAAAGCAACCTTGGCCTTGACAGGCCTAACCAAACATGTACAATATTTGACTCCTGCCCAATTTCTTCCTTACATAAATATGGGTGGAGTTTCATGTCCATTTACTAAAACAACCACAACCACTCTCCAGATCTGTATAAAATCCATAAAATGTATCCCACTGTAGAAATAGGAACATGCCATTGATTAAAAAAAAAAGTATTGATGTCTGTTGGAATATAAATCTAAGAGGATTAAAAAAAAAAAGTTAATGAAACATGTTTCCTGTTAACCGAGTTCACTGACTGGAGGGGAGGAGAAAGACACCACAGAGTACTGAGTTGGACTGGTTTTTGATTGGTCTGGCATCAGATGTGTGGTTATATGGGCAAGCACAAAGAGAATACTGCGGTTATTCTTGGACCACCAGTGTCCGCACTTCCATGTAATGTTCTGGTGTTTACCATCACTGGTTCAGTTCATCTGCTGGGATTATGAGTCAGCTCTGTTAAAGTGCTGCGAAGAGGTCCTGCAAGGACACTGACTGACTAACTTACCCTCACTGCATCCAAATTAAAGTGTTTGCACGATCCAGTACACAAACCGAGCCAGGTCATAACCATCACCACCAAACTCCTGAATTCTACTGTGTTTGCTCTGTAGCTTCAAATTCAAATCGGCCTTGGCTTTGAGATTTGCTCTTTCTCTCACACAGTGCACATTTTGTAATGTTGTTTGTACACTGTGGAACGTCAGCACTGATATTTTCGGTTCTGTGGAGGAGTCTACCCATAGCAGAGCAAACACGACCCATCATCAGCATAATGTTTTGTTTGCTGAGCCCATCACCTTCCAGCAAGAATTTGCGCCTCATTCTTTCCGCTGACAACGTGATGATGAATCTCTGGGAATTTAATTTGTTATTATACAGCCTGGTGATGCAGCTGGCAATTAAGCATGCCATGGACTGGCAACATCTGAACCCTTGACTATAGCTACATCACATACAGTTTCTGTCTCCCCCGCTCACCTTTAAAAACCACAAAATGCCCTGAAGTAATGTGAAAAGTCAACCAGTATCACTACTCAGAGTAGATTAAAATGGCATGTTTCTGAAATGACTGTTTGACCTTTTGTTGTTTCATTGATATAGAATATGTTCATCCCCTTGATTACACGTCAACCAGTGATGACATGTAGAAAGCTCAAGTCTGCTTCTCTGTCATATCTTCAATCTGACAAAACATCCTGTAAAAACATCACAAACCACAAACACTAAACTGTCTGAGGTTTAATATTTACTAGTGACATTACCCTGTGTCTGAACCAGCTGAACTTTTTAAACATATTATATTATTCTGTGCATGAAAAATGAAAATGTTGACCAACCAATCATAACTGCAATGACTGCCTAATATGAAGCTGTTATTTTATCATTTTACTAGAGGAGTTTCTATGAAGAGCTGACATTTCTGTAACTGGCAGAGTCCTGTGTGAAAAATGAAGTGAAAAATATGTCTGCACTACTGAGCCCAAAGTGAAAAATCTTCCTCTTCCTCTAATCTCAGTCATGTCAGAAGTTGTACTAATGGAAACTAAAAATTAATTTGTATGACTTGTCTCATTAATTTGCGCATAGTAATTTAGTATTGCATGAAACTCTAGGCTGATTTACCATACTTAACACCATATTAATATCTATGCAAATACTTTTGATTCCCATGAGCATACAGTTTCAGATTATTACAATTGCAGAGAATATTGTTAAATTGTCTTTAATATAAAGATGAACTGAATCAAAAAGGTCCAGTTGTAATAAAAGGGTAATCTATAAAACATGGTGGTGAGTGTGTGTGTATGGTAGAAGAGTAATGTAAACCTAAAGACAGGCGAACACAGTGTTCCAGGTCAAGGCTGAAGTCTGTACAGCTTTGGTCCAAAGAGCAGCATGAGTCACCGGAACAGAGGAGATTGCTAGCTTGCAAAATTCATTAAGACAAATGTAAGGTATATGGATTTCCTCTGGAAGAAAAAAAAAATCCCTTGGCAGCTGCAGGCCAACACCCCAGTGAATCCTCAAGTAGCTTTCCATGCACCTTTGGAATGACAGCATGCTTTTTGAAACTCTATGGATGATTTATGCTGGCCTGAATGTAAATGAATAACTTTAAGTCTTTCAGCATGTTGGATTATTTTATATTGGTTTTGGAACCATTCTCATACAACTACAACAGACTATTACTATTATATACAATGGGTAAAAGAACAACTATTTTAAACCAGACAGTTTAACACCCAATGAGTATGGCCAATGAAACTATCTGCTACAATGAGACTAATCAGTATGAAAACTGATAATGAATGCAAATTTGGCTGTTTAAGGTGCAGGTTAAACTGCTTTTTAATCCAAAAACTAGCAGCTATATCATGTAATGTCCCTTTGGTCGTTCTGTACAATTGCGCCCCCGTGCGGGTACAAGACAGTAATGCATTAATATATATACAGCCTGGGCTACTACTGCTCAGGATTACGGTAACATCACCACTTCAATAACGTTACAAGTGCAACGACTGTTAAAATAACCCCGAAATGCACAGTATCCTGGAGATAATTAAGCCCAAGTCAAACAATTGTAAATTGTTTTATAGTACAGAGGGCTAGCTAGCCAAATTAGCTTTAAAGTCTGGAAAGCCTCAAATGTAACGTTTAACAACATCAGAGGCGCTATTTGTCAGGAGATAACGTTATGCGCTTACAGTCAATAAACCCACTATAATGATCCAGGAACAGTAGTTGCACTCGGCTATTCAAACTTTAGACAAGGCCATGAATGAAGAACTGATCCGAAATCAGCCACCTCGGCACCGGATGTCGGTTAAGCGCCGTTTTCGGGAGCGACTCGTCGAGGAAATATCTTCCGCCGTAGAGAACATTTGTGGAGGGCTGCCATTTTAGCGACCTTACGGTAAGAAAACTTGCTTCGTGTTGTTGTGTAGTTAGCTGGTTGCTAAGCGTGCAACTCAGTCACTGTGTGCAGTGCGCTGTAGGTCGATTTTATGTAAAACACATGTCCGTCCAGTTTGTTTTGTGTTGACAGTTCATGTTAGCTAACCTAGCTTGTTTACCATTGTGACTGTGATTCTGCAGTTAGCAGTTACTAATCCTAGCATTGGACTTTACAAAGATAAAAGCACAAAAATATCATATGTAGTCTGTTGCCCTGACAATTAGGCTTTAGATACTGAGGTTTGAGGTATTTCTGACCCACCTTAAGTCAGAGAGGTTGTTTTAACAGACTCACCGAGCATTTAGCTAAATATTAGCTGCTTTTTGCCTTTGAGCAAGTGAATTCACTAGTCTAAAATTAGCCACAGTAATGATGATACATGAGAGGCACGAAGTGGAGCTGCTCTCAAATATAATCTTACTGTAGCTACGTGGACCCCCGAGAATGCACATGCATGTGTATGTTCACAAACTGAATGAAACTCCTCGAGTTTAAGCGTTACTCACCACACTCCGTTTCTGTTTCTGTAGGCAGCACAAATGAATTATGGGTGTCAACGTGGTCCAGCTCACCTCTAAATCTCACCATGAAAACATCCTGGCCTCTCTGCATCAGATGAGGCTGCAAGGACAGTTTAGTGATGTTACAGTCCAGGTAGACTACCAGGGAGACGTGCAGGAGTTTCAGGCCCACCAGGTGGTGCTTGCAGCCTCCAGTGGCTACTTCAAGAAGATCCTTCTCTCTCAGGACGCAGCCCGAGACAAATTATCACTCTCAAATATGCACTCCAACAACTTCTCCAAGTTTTTGGAATTTGTGTACACTGGTAAAGTTGAAGTTGCCAGAGATAAGATTGGTGATGTTCAAGCAGCGGCACAGTTGTTGGACTGTGAGGATCTTGCAGAGGTTTGTGGTGAGGCCATGAGTGCGGGAATTCTACAAAACCCAGCAAAGAAATCGTCTGCATCAAAGGTTGTAGATAAAGATGACTCACAAGGTGACAAGAAAGAAAAAAGGGCCAATGGGAAAAAACAGCCTGAAAGCTTATTTCATAAGCGGCAGCTCTCCCCACGGAGCCCTGTGAAAGAAGTTATATCAAAAAGAGTAAAGATAAAGGACACAATAAAGGATGAAAAAGGAGGACAGGTAAAGCAGAGGTTGGCTGGCCGTAAAGCCCTTCAGAGAAATACTAAAAAAGAGGCTTTTAACAGTGAAAACCAAGTTACCACTGAAGACACAGAGGAGAATGAGGACAGGACTGAAGGTGATGCTCAGCCAGAGAAACAACCAGAGAAAGAAGCTGAGACTTCGGGAATGATAATCTCTGATGTGGATGGCTGGGAATGTGAGGACGATGTGCAGAGTAATGATCCTGAAGACCCTCTGCTGTTATCTGTGGGGGTGGAGGAGGATGAGGAGGAGGAGGAGGAGGAAGAGGGACAGTCCAAGGAGATGTCAAAAAGACCATCCAAAGCCCAGTTCCAGTGTAACAAGTGCCAACGGACCTTCCACTACGAGAGAAGCTACTTGAAGCACATCAGGTAGGACATAATAGTTCTTCTGGGTTTAATTTATTGATTGATACTACAGCTCCCAATAGTGTACAGACTGAATCTTTCAGCCAAGCAACCACCATATGACAGGACTTGTTCCAGGGGAACATTTTCAGTAGTGAGGTTAGCACCCAGCTGTTGGGAAAACTCACAAGCTCATTATCAAACATGATATTTTATTTGTTGATATTATATTGTGCTACCCTGTGTTGTTGACTCAGTGTTGAATGTGTGGACTGTTTTGATGTCACACTGGTGATTACAGTTTTATGGGAAATGTGAGTCATCTAGTGAGCGTTTGGTCTTTCCCCGGAGCTCCCTAGTCACTCTTCCAATGGCTTTAAGTGCTTTATTATGTGCCTGGGAGGAGAACCTCTGTTGACCTCAGCTGTTCCTGTGTAATTGTTTACTTACTTTTTTAATTTCTGTATTAGTGCGCAACACTATGCCGAACACAATTTTTTTTATCCATTGTGAACATGGTGGCACCTACATTAACTGTATCCTTTTCCTGATGTCACGATTTATTTAAATAACAAGACAAGATGGAGAAAGTGATCTGATAGTTGTGTATCTGTGGTAATAATGTGGTTGAATTATCTTGTGCACCAGTTCTCCCAGTGACAACAGCACTGTGCTACCACAGCTCTACCATGTTAACTGGAGTATTTTTTTAAGACTTCCCCTCTACTGTTGCAGCTATGTCTGATGGTCATCAGTGCATTTCATTGATACCTTTTAAACGACATTTGTCCTCTGATATTTCTGTAATCTGTTACTGCTCTCTTGGCCAGCACATACCATGGAATGAAAGCCGATGTTATCTATCGCTGTGAGACCTGCCTGCAGACCTTTGCTAACCGCAGCAACTTGAAAATCCATGAAAAGCATGTCCACAGTAATGAGAGGCTTTTTGCATGTGACTCCTGCACAAAGACCTTCAAACGAAAGAAGGATGTTGTCCGCCATCAAAGACAGGTGAAGATTAATTAAATTCCATACACTTTCTATATTTGATAGTCATATACTGTGTTATTTCCATGATAAAATATATGCATTGTGATATATCTATGCAATAACGATTCACATGTTTTTCCCCTGATTTGAGCATTCCTGTCTTACACCCCTGTTGCTTCTCAGGTACATGAACGTAACAATCTGCGTCATGTCTGCTCTGACTGTGGAAAGACACTCAGCTCCAAAACTGCTCTGTTGTTGCATGGGAGGACACACACAGGCACAAAGCCCTTTGAGTGCACTGACTGTCAGGCCAGGTTTACCCAGAACTCTGCACTCAAGATGCACCGCAGGTACTGAACTCACAGATGAGGACTGAAGCTTAGAATTGGGGTGGGAGTTGTGTAGATGCTTGAGGGGCGAGCGTTTAACCAGAGGGTCACAGCTTCTAATTTTGTTGAGCAAGTAGTTCTCACCTCTCTCTGACAAACTTTAGCATCCTTCAGCTTTACAGTTACAGAATGTATCAGCCTGTCATGTATATACAAATACTACATTGAATCACACAGAAACTCCAGTCAAATTTTTCCTGTTGTCCCTGATGGTCCAATCATCAGTTGTAGACATACATACTTCTAGCTAGGAAAAGCTGGAAACCAGAGAGTTAATCATGGTTGTGAACTTTCATTTATATATACTAATAACATATGTATATGTATGAAATAGTTGAAGGTTAAACTCGTCTGTTTCCCTATGTGTAGGACTCACACGGGAGAGAAGCCATTTGCATGTGATGAGTGTGAGTCCCGGTTCACTCAGAAGCACATGCTGGCCTATCATAAGAGATCACACACGGGTAAGACTGATATAATATCAAGACCACTTGTATTTCTGCATTTCCATCTTTAGTTTTCGAGGAGATTTTGACACAGTGCCCACTAATTTCTGCTTTAGCTAAGAATATATTTTTAAGTAGGCCTTGAAGATTGTAGCCACAAAGCTATCTACACCTACCAGACCACATGTGAAAACATGGTTCTTTTGTGGTTTTTCCTCTTGGTAGGAGAAAAGCCTTTCATGTGTGAGGCATGTGGGAAAAGCTTTGCATCTAAAGAATACCTAAGGCACCATTCGAACATCCACACTGGGTCCAAGCCATACAAGTGTGAACAGTGTGGTCGAGGCTTTGCTCAGAGGAATTCTCTTCACCAGCATTTAAAAATACATACAGGTAATTGTAATAATCATTTAACTTATTTGTTTTTGGTCTTTTGAGGACATAATGCACTTTTACAGCTGAAAATAACAACAAAATTAATTTTGTTCGTTGTTTTTTTCATCGTCACTGTCCTTATGTTTACACTCTGACATTGATGTGACTTTTTAATTTTTCTTGTCTATGCTTGTTCCCTCTTGAATGATTGTTAGGTGAGCGTCCGTACAGCTGTAAAGACTGTGAAAAACAGTTCACCCAGCTCAACGCCCTCCAGAGGCACCAGCGTATTCACACAGGAGAGAAACCCTACATGTGTGGCCTTTGTAACCGCACCTTTACAGACAAGTCCACCCTTCGCAGGCACACTATGGTAAACAGCGCTTATCTCACTGTAGTCGTACTATGTGAAAGTGTATTTTCAAATGTGAGTGTGTGGGTACAGTGTTGATAAAACCGAGTGTCCATATTTAAAAAAGGAAGGATTATTAATGGTATTAAGGCTTTTGCACAATGCATACCAATGCATGCTTATCATCTGATATGTTGTTGCTGTTTAAAGTGCTTTGTCCCATCAGACTGCTATGAAAATAACACGAGTTCTGTTAACATTCAGATTCATGACTCAGATGCTCCCTGGAAGAACTACCTGGTGGTGCTGGAGGGAAATGTGGAGGACAAGAAACCCAGAAGTCCTACTAAGGGAAAGACAGAAAAAGCAGGAGCAGGGGAGAAAAAGAGTTCAGCGAGAAAAAGTGGTGGTACTGCTGGTGCTGCCGGTAAAACCAACAATGACTCCACTGTGGTTTCAGCTGAGCCAGTCACTCTCCCATCTGAGTGGACCAGTCATGGAGCCATTGCTCTGGTCAGTCACGGTGCCCTCGGCGGGATCACTGTCATCCACACTGAAGTGCCACCTGGGACACAGATCCAGCCCATTATGACCACTGACAGCACAGGGGCCAGTGTCATTTCCTTAGATGGTTCCACCATCCCTGTCCCCTTCTCTATACCTGTGTCTATGGCTCATCCTAGCCCCTTGTCCTCTGAAACCTCCTCCACCGTTTTGTCTGTACCTTCAGTTCTCTCAGTTCCTGTTTCTGAAAGCGCATTGGCGTCAGTCTCGGAGATCCAAACTGTTTCAGCGTCATCTGTCCTGGAAGCTGCTGTTTCACAGACCATTTTGGCTCCGGTTTCAGACACTAAGACCACTTCTGAGATGGATATATTACACCCTAATATTCAGACTGTGATTGTCACTGACAAAGCTTGTGGAAAAGAACAAACAGCAGCTGTCCAAAGTGATGGACAGCAAAGGACAGCAGATAACTCTTTAGGTGAACCTAAAGATCAAGAAGCTTTGTAGAAAATGCATCTAAATATTTCCAGCCCCTCACTTAATGATATTTGTTGTATATACTTTGGAATTAGCAATGTCTGAATTTGTGTTCTGACTGCAGTGTTTCATCATAATCATAATCTAAAATCCAGTGTTTCATTAACAGTCACTTGGATGTGATGTTCAGTGTTTATCACACCCTTTGGGAAACTCAAGGTATGCATTAAGAATCACAAGTTTTAGTCACAAGCTTATGAGATATAACTAAGGCGTAATCAAGATTATTATAATTAATGATTGAAATAATATTGTACATGTCTCATAATGTACAGTGTGGAATGCGGCATAAATCATATTGAATACAAATGAAATTAAGTTGATTGTTAGTTCATTACATATAATGGCAAACATCACATCAGGTTCAGTACATTTTAGCCCTCATGTTAATATCAGACACCTGTTCACCATACATCATGTACTGCAGGAGTTACAACCTGGATGATTGTGGAGGATCATGGTCTGGGAACCTTGTCAGAAGTCCTTGGCAGCTGCAGAACAGCACTCCAGTGAATCCTCAAGTAGCTTTCCATACACCTTTTGGAATGACAACACGCTTTTCACAACTCTTTTGATTTATTTTGGTCTGAATGTAAATGAATTATCTTAAATCCTTCAAAATTCTGGCACTTTACTCTCTTTGGAACAGTTTCCATATAACTACAGCTGTGTTTCAAAGTATTTGTTATGTTCAGCAGACACTCCATATTATCCCGGAGGATTTCTGAGTCTGCCTCCACTTACAGAACTTCTGGAAAGAAAATAACCTCTATAAAGTTTTTAAGTTTTAACCCAATTAAATGTAATTAGACTGAAACTAATTGGTATCTTCTTTCCAAATGTAGATTTGTTTTATTTATTGTACCCAATCGAAACAGTATTATTAATGTGGATGCTTGCAAAGAAGGTATACAAATAACATTTTGATCCGTCACTAATGACATGGGCAGGAGAAAGGAAATGCGCACTAAACAAGATGTAGACGTTGTATAAGAACAGGACACAATCATGTCAAACCTAGGTCACATTGTTCTCTGTCACAGGTCATTGATTAAATTGATTTCTGTAATCTATTGCCCCAGCAAACTTCACCCATCAAATCAAACAGCATAAGGTTACAGTCAGACAGGGCAGTAGATTAAAGTAATAGATCAATAAAAGTATACGAGTTTAATTATATATAAATCCAAGCACAGTATTAGCAACATGCATTTTATTTAGTGGGCTTATAAATACAACTCACAAAATACAGACTGTAATACATTTATATTATTGTCTGTTTGTGATTTATACATTATTCTACTGATCCTATTGGGCCTTCTTTAGTATAGGTTTTTGAACTGCTGGTGCAAGAACCTGTACTTTGGTTATAGTATTGAACCAAAGCTATTTTGCAAAATAGTTGTAGCTTACTGAAATGTCATTTCAGTGCTGTATTATCAAGATGACCACATCAGTGTGTAGTGATTGGCACTAATCAGACTAACTACAAAGTGTGCTTTATAGATTTTGTTGGTAAAGAAAATCTTGAGTTGTTGCACGTGTGGACATGACAGGACAGCAGAAGACGATCATTATTAAAGAGGTGAAGGTCTCAGGCCTCAGCTCAAACCACTGTGTAGAAAATGCTTTTCAGTATTACTTTTTCTGTGGGCAAGTCATTTGATATAGTGTCACACCTCATCAAGGTGTCTCACATCTTGTACCTGGTGTCTGATTGTATTAGTCACGTACAATTCCTGAGTGTGTTTTAAGGTCAAAGAGAAACATAGAAACTATTCATTGTCGACCTTGAGAATTTAAATACAGATTGAAGCTTACAGCACACAATTCTAATTCATAATTAAAGACAAGGTCAGGGCAGTGTGGGATATAATACCTTTATTATTGTCCATTCGCACAAGCATACAGATCATATCCAATCCCCATTGTCATTCCATCTGGAAGAAGCTGGATACGCAGGGCGACTGACCCTTTTGTAAAAACTTTGGTCTGGCTCACTAGTGAATGTAACACAACACTAACCTGTACACAATGACATGCTTAGCAACTGGCCAGTTGGAAGGTGCACTGCAGTAGTAAACCTTCACTGTAGTGTAGTTCACAACACAACACGGCACGGAATGAATGACTAATGATGCACATTATCCCAAAATTACTGCCCTGGGAATAAAGGAGAAAGGGTTTCCATGTCAGTTCTTTTCACGCCAAAATACAGCTCACATAGGCAACCTATAAACTGCAGCTTACACATTCAAACATTAAAAGTGTTCTTACGTCAAAAAATCCTAAAGTCATAATAAATAAACTGAAATGTAATAAAATCATGAACATGTATCACAAAAAAATCATCAGGTTGTGATTAGGTACAAATGTTTAACAGTCTACACTTGGTGCATATCACAGCCCTTCATCAAGAAGAGTCTCTCCCCATGAGTGATAAAAAGGAAACCAAAATCTTTTTTATGGTAATGAGTTGTAAGAACAATCATGAAATTGATTTAATCCTTCTCTTCTATTTCAACACAACATAAATTAAGATAATAGTACATTCTTTAAATCCACACACATCATGATAATCTTATGTACAACAAACTGAAACATTTAAATAATTGAAATATATAATAAACTAGATTAAAAAAAAACAAGCTGCATCGGACTAGGAAACAATACTTGTACAAAACATGCAGTGCTTGTCATCAATACTAACATTAGTTTCAATACAATATACCGCTCTGAAATCCCCCAGGACAGATTTCAGCAGAAAAAGGTATGCAGCAATCCTCTAGGAAGAGGTGAGGGCGAGAGGATTTACATTCTGACTAGATTCAGATATGCTTGTAAGGAAAGCAAAGATAGTACTCTGACAGTATAGCAGTGAGCAGTGGAATATTCAAAATCGCCAGACACTCCTCTCCAGATACTATACACAATGAGGCGAGTGTCTGTCTGTTTGTGTGCCTGTGTGTGTGAGAAAGCATGCGTGATGGATTTGTCCCTCCATGCTGCATTTTGTACCCAGTGGTTCTTTCATTTCAGATCCCCTTCATCACCCTGGATGGTCTTTTTGATGCGCAGCAGGAGGGTTGTGTGCCACTGGTCCAAACGTGAGATGGAGTCAAACTCCTTTACCTGAACAGGGCGGAAATGGGACATAGAGATAAGCTTTATTTTTCCCAAATCAGGATTACAATTACAGTGTTCTGCTCAGTTTGCTAAATTTATTATATAACTTAATATACAATTCACTTAGGTTTGAATTCTACCACTGGCATTGCATATGTATGAACTAACACACTGTTACAATTGTGATGAATTTTCTACATTTCAGATGAGGACTCTTCCCTCTCTGACTTTGAGTTAACTTTGAAAAATGTTTTAGGAGCTCAGCTCAGCAACAGTGATTCACCACATCAGTCTGTACAAGTTCCACATAAACACACAGTCCTGGGAGACTGAATTGATTCCTGAGATCCAGCTTTCAACTTTCCTGAACACACAAGGGATCCAACAAAACTACAATAGCTGAAGCAGTGCGAGTTCTGTGCTCACCAAAGGCCTTATTTTAAAACTTGACAACTTTCATAGAGTGTATGAGACTTACTGCCTCTGTGAAAGCCTCGCTGTTCTGTTCCTCGTGTGCCTCAAGAAGTTTCTGTTAAGACAAAAGAAAATGTAGGTTACGCAAAGAAAGTGAACAGATTAATAGGGAAAAGTAAACCATCCTCAGTGTTCTTAGCATCGAGTTACCTTCAACAACTTGCATTCTCTGGAGTCTGAAAAAGCCGGGAACATCTCCTCATATTTTTCAACAGCAATCTGTAGAGACACAGCGTGTTAAAATTCTACCACAACTCCCCTTCCCAAATCCTGAACCACAAAGGTATAAACTTGCCTTAGCATTGAGCTCGTCGACAATGAAATGACACAGGGAGGCTTTGAAGAAATACTCTTTGGCGCTGTATTTCAGCAGTGGGTTGTCCATCGTGTTGGCTCCAACCTAGATGCATTCAAATCATACAAAATGTAGTAGATATGTCAGCATTACAAACTCAGTGGTGATGGAGAAAAGTGCAAGGTAGACACACAAATCCCGAGTAGTACCCACCTGCTCGTAGATCTCGATAGCCTTCTGGTACTGCTCCAACTGAGCACAGTAAGCTCCCACTTTCAGGAGACACTTATTGGCAGAACTAAAGAAAAGTTTCAAAAAGACAAAGGTAACGACATAATCACTCATGTTAATGAGGGCAATTCATGAAGGTATCTCAGTTCCAGGGTTCTGGTTTTGCACTGCCCGCTTGCATACGCCTGTTAATGTCACTGACAGCTGTGCTTTCTCAGCTATGGCAAATCAAAATGTGGCAGAAGGCTTCTGTGAACAACAGCTGTGAGCAGGCTGCTATAGATGCTATCCAGCAAGCAACAAGAACCTTTTAGCTTCTCTTTGACCTATTTACTTGTTAAAATTACTTACATGAAAAAAGTGTATTAGAAATTCTAAACTTAAAATGAAATTGTTATTCTCTACAACATTTCAGTCTTCATGACTTTTATCATGATATAAAATCAGTGTGCTACACCTAAAAATGTACTGCACAGAAATTCTTCATATCACCAATGAACTATTTAGGGTGATAACTACTACAGTAAATAGCTTTATAAGTCAACAGTGTTTGACATCAACAGAACTCCCTCACAGCTTATACTGATACTTAGAGCATCACTGTATGTAGTCTTTAATCTTTACAGTAGGGGTTAGGGTGCACACATAACTTTGAAATTGCTATATGCTTTCACACATGACAGCACCAATTCTTAAATAGAAAAACAGAGATAACATAGGTAATATACTATATACTATCCTGATAAAAGAAACAGTGAGAACAGTACCTGTTTGATTCTTCTCCTTTGTAGTAGTCTGCTGCTTGTTCATAATGTGCAATAGCCTTTACAAAAGAAAAAACAGCAAACACTGTCATCTTAAGTGTTCTCCAAAAAAATATTACTTATAATGGTCATATGAGTAATTATTAGTGGTATTATCTGGCTATGTAACCTCTGACAATGTGATGTTACCTTTTCGATATCCACAAGTTCAGCCTCGAAGATCTCTGCGATACTGATGTGGTGTTTGGCTGCGATGGTGAATCTTCCCTGGGGGAGGAGGAGGAGAAGGAGAGGAGAAATCATTACTAACTGGATCTATCTCAAGTCAATGAAAGTGTTTTGTTATGTTCTCAGTGCAGAGAGGTGAGGTCAAGTGGTGGCCTGTGGCTTCATGTCTGTAAGGTTTTAGCTTCTGAAATTAATCTTCACTAAAAGAAAAAAACATGTAGGCAATTTGCTCAATCAAGGTTGTGTTATACCTGTTAAATAAAAAAAAAGGGGTGCACTATCAGTATGTTGATATCTGCCCAAAAATAAAATGTGGGAGTGGAGGAAAAGCAGAGACATCCTCCTACATCAATGTGTATGAGGATTTTCTGCTATCCAGCTCTGTTAAGTCAAAGGCCAGATTTACTGTTGTGGATGAGAACACAGATGGAGACTTTCTATAGGCATCTTACCATGTCTGTGTATATATCGATGGCAGCATTTAAACACTTGATTGCCTCTTTTGGCAGCATTAAAAGAAGAGGAGGGAACAATTAGACATCAGTTAGAAATGGTTAGTTTTGTTAATACCTTGAACCTTGAACAGCACCTAATTCAAGATTAGTCAACAAGGGTTGTTCCAGCAACAGGGTGAAAGGAGGTAAAAAAAACAAAAAAAAACAACCTACGTATAACACTTGTATGTTGCTTTTAGTCAGGCGTTAGATACAAATGATAAAACAAAACCACAAGCAAGACCCTCCTCTTCTGTCTGCACACCAAACACCTCAGCCGTCTACCCTCCCCCAAAACCAATGGCTACATCTGCGCTTAGAATATTAAATGAGGCCACAGAGAGAACAAAGAGCCCTATAAATCAACTAACAGTAAATGCCGAGCAATTAAAGAGCAATAACTCCTACGTGATCAATTGCTTGAAATATGAACAGCAAAGCAACTAAGGCAGATTGTAAAAGTGAAATCCACCTCACAGTTAAGCCTTGTGGCCAGAGAGTGTTAAACTCTCCTGATTTCCTGTCAACAATCTGAGGATTTAGTGTGGGGATTCAATGTGTTTTAGTCATTTAGAGAAACACTCACTCTACAATGACTCATCTCAGGAGATTTGATTAATTTCCTGTCAGAGTGACAGAATATAGCCTCACTCCCCCCTGCTGGGTGTGGAAATGCTCTAGCTAGTCAACTTCACTACAAAACAGTATTCATGAAAACACTGAATGACAAGTGTTTTAATCAGGCATGGCTAACATATATATTTTCAATACATTACTGCGATAGTTTTCTTGCATCCAACTGTACAGTCGATGTTTCATTAACAGTATGAGGGTCAGAATTAGATTAGAGTTATTATGGGTTAAATAGGGTAAGAGGTGGATTGAAGTCAGTCTGTCATCTCTTACCATTGGGGTCAGACTTCTTGTAAGCATTCCCTGCATCGATGAAACTGGTGGCACAGTCATGTTTGTTCTGCAGCTGCATATGGAGACGTGCAGCCTTGCAAAATGCATTTCCAGCAGCTGCAGATAGAGGAAAAGAGAACAGAAAATTTCATGCATCCCGACTGTATACTTTGCATCACACCCATTTCTAGGTGCTGCACTTTGCAGTTATAGAGCCAAAAGACAGCAATTCTACAGCTTGGCAAGTGTGTTGAAATTGATAAGTTAAATATCTTAAGCAGAAAACAGCCAGTCGCACCACTCCAGTTTTTGACCATCTTGAACATGTTGGCTGCTCTGCAGTACATCTCACATGCCTCTTCCACTTTGTGATGTCCTCTACAAACCAAAGGAAAAAGAAAGCAGTTGTAATCAAACTGAATATAGTACAAATGATTATATAAGCTATGGCATACTAAGGTTAAACAAAAACAAATCAGTCTGGTCTAGATATGGTCAAATAAATGACCCCTAAATGGCATCATAGGATGATGCACTGTACAGAGTGTCAGTCTGCTGCATTTCTCAGGGAGTTGCAATGCTAAGATTGGTGAACTGGCTTAAATAAATCCCTCTACAGAGACACTATAGATCTCCATCCCTTCATGACAAGAAGTGGACCCCTGGGAGCTCCCTGTAGTTGTAATAATATTCTGGCCATTCAATCACGGAAGGATTACATCACTGCTTGGTCAGCCACAGATTTAACAGTATAAGGCTGCCAAGAATTATCACGCACACAAACTGCAGAGTAGTAACATCTGGGGGTCACCTCGGACAGAGTTGCACTGGACAATAACTGCTGACTTTTTGTATTTTGGGCACATGAAAACAAAGCTTTCTTTGCCTTGTCTCTATTATATGGAAAAATATTCAGATATAGGAGAGCATGTATTAATTGGATATACATAACAATTTTAAGGAGCTCCCCAAGGTCACTGGTAGATATAAAGCTCTCAATAGAAATCAGTGTCTGCAATATGTCCAATGACACATTTTTTTCAAGAATGAATGCATAATAAATAATTGGTAAAACTACTAGCCAACTGTTTGTCTATGTCTACAGTAATGTTGTTATTACCAGTCAGATAAGGCAAGTCTTGAATGAGTTGCCTTTTTGATGGTTTTGCCTGTTTTGGCAAATGTGAACTCTCAATCTGCTAAAAACCCCTCAGCATGATTCAGATCGCAGCATTTGCCATTGTGGAGGTTTGCCCTGTCTTTATCCCATCATCAGAAACCTTTGCTCTGGGTGTTTTGAGGATTAACTCTGGTGTTAATGAGTGCACTGATGAAAGTAACAATTAGTAATGAATCGTACTTTAAACACTGCTGTGTGTGTTGAGAGCACATTCACAGTCACTGCCTCAGGATTATGACGTCAGGTCAGATGACAATGTGTTTGGTTCATTCAGAGGAGGGTGTTTTTAGACTAGAATATGTAAATAAATTCTTGGAGCTAAAATGAAATCGAACCATGAAGGGATCAAAAATCAGACAATAAACCCAGAAAATACACCATATATTTATATATAGCCTACTATATGTGATCTGACATAATGCGGAGACTGAGTGAAATTAAAGAAAAGGCTGCAAATACAGTCAAAGTAGATATTTTAACCTTGTAAATTAGCTCAATACAGACTGCTGCGTAGACTCCAGGCCAAGACTGGGTGCAGGAGAGAGTCGTGATCTGCTGGCATGTTTACAATGATAACAGCTAACTTAGCTAACTGATTTGCAGGAATTATTGCAATGAATGTCACGTGTCGTCTCCATCTGGTTCAATATAAAACGAAACTGCAATGTTCTTCTACAATGTGTTGTCAGTTAACATTTGAAAACCTAACTGGATGCATGTCTGTATAGCAATAGGCTACGTGCCAACTTTGCTGCTGTAACTTAACGCTTGCTAGCTGTCTGTTCTTTGGTGCAGTGCTGTCTTACCCTCCAAACATCCCTCCCAAAAAAGAGCCAGAGGACTTGACTTTTTTGTCAGCGTCGGCCATTAGCTGAATCGCTTCCTTCTCTTTCCCAGAGTTGTCCATTTCTTTGCTGTATTTGGAAAAAAACGTTAAGTGAGGCAGAAAATACCAGCAAAGGATTCCGCTGTGTACAGTGAGGATTACAGTCGATGGGTTTATTTAGCGTAGGCGTGCACAGGCTAGTAGCTTAGGCGAGTGCCGTGGCATCGCGGGAGTTGGAGTGCCCTACGTGACAAAAACAGGTGCCCTCAAGTCAAAAGAAACTACAACTCCCGGAGATACATGAATCTATTTTTATATCCTGTGTTACGTAATATTTGATGGCAAATAGCTAAAATATATTTAACGTTCAGTTTATTTTTTCCTTAAATTTGACGCAGTATCAAGTCACATTTTATTTTTTCTTCGCCGTAAAGATGAAATTGGATATATTATCGTCCGAAAAACCTTAAAGTAGCAACACAGTCAGTGTATGCTGCTCCTCTGTACAGCAGAGGGCGCCCAAACATTACAACTGACTCGACATCCTTTTGCTGGAGTCCCTGTGGCCAAACTGTTTCCCTTCATAAATAAGTATTAATTTTGCGAGTTTTTGGGTCAGCACAAGATGTAAATACATTTCCACTTAAAGTTTTCATGTCACACTGTAATTATGCAGACGTTGATGTACGGTTGATTTGTACGGTGGCCCTGAGACATTTGACTTGTTAGTCAAATGTTAGCAGGGGAAGCACAGGTGATAGTAATAAGGTTAATTACAGGCAATTTGTACTTTGTGTGTTTTCATTTTTATTCTACACCACTAGATTTCAGAGGAAAATGTACTTTTCACAACGTTATATCCATTTTACAGTTACATTTTATGTACAAGTCATTATTTTATAAAATATGATGTGTATTGAAGAGTACATTTCTCAGCAGTACATAAAGCAGATAAAATAAGTTCCACCTCAGCTTGTTACAATTGTAAACTTAGAGTGGCAAGAAATAATAAGTGAACCCTTTGGAATTACCTCCATTTATGTATAAATTTGTCCTAAAAATATGTCCAGATCTTCATCCAAGTTGCAATTATGAACCAACTTCATCTATTTTCTAACTAATTACACACAAATCATTGTATTGTTCTTGTCTACGTCGAAAACATCATTCAAACGTTCACCGTGTAGGCTGGAAAAAGAACCCCTTGGGTTAATGGCATCAACAAAAGCTGACTGGAGTCAGGAGTTATCAAACCTGGAGTCCAATCAATTAAACCAGATTGGAGGTGTGGGATAGAGCTACTTTGACTTGTAAAAAACACTCAAACATTTTGAATTTTGAATTCCCAAGAAACTTTTGGTAATTTGAAACATGCTTTGCACAAGAGAGATCTCAGAAGACCTGTGATCAAGAATTGTTGATTTGGATAAAGCTGGAAGGGTTGCAAAGTCATCTCAGAGAGTTTAGATATTCATCAGTACTACTCGACACTACCACTACTCTCTCTAGACATCACCAGACATCCTAAGAATGCTCCAAAATTCCCCCTGATCATTGTGCAGGTCTGACCAGCAGCAGCTGGAAGAGCTTGTTTGAAGTTATTGCTGCCAAAGGTGAATGTTTCATGGGTGTGTTCAATAGAGACACAGAAGATTATAATTGCTTGTGATATTGGCTTAGGGACACTACACTTGTGACTCAGATGAGGATCAGATTACATTTTATTGGTGAGGATGTTGGCTTAGAAACCTGCATCCTCAACCAAAGAGCTCTCCTTGTCATTTAAAAATCTAGTTAGTGGTGAAGGGTGTAAACTCTTTAATCATTTCAGCATTCCTAAACAATAGCCCAGGTAGTTGCATGAAAAGACTGATCATTGGTACATCAGTTGTAAGGTTCACTCTGATAACCACTGCCTGAGACAATCATCCTGAGATAAGAAAGAAACCTTATATCATTAGTCGTGCCAACCATCACTGAGTGTGCTTGCGTTATCTGATCAATCATTAACTATTGTATAGTGCCATGCCAGCAGCGTTCTATGGGTGTAGGCTATGTTGAGTAAAACTAAATGTAAACAAAACTAGAATCACAACACCACAGTTGTTTGCCTCCACCAACCAATCCAGTTGCAGTTTAAATGCACGTTTATAGTTACAGCCAAAAACATGATTTGTGCAGTCAGTGATCTTCGACTTTTGCCCACCAAAATCTAATCAATTCATCTTTGATCCAAGTAAACGTTTGTGCCCAATGTGAAGTAATTCCCTCTGGGCGTTCATGAGATGATGCGTTCACAAGGCCAAAAACATGTTTTGTGAGGTCACAGCGGCCTTTGACCTTTGACAACAAAATCCAAATCAGTTCACCCTTGAATCCGAGTGAACGATGCTGCAAAATTTGAAGAAGTTCCCTCAAGGTGTTACTGAGATATCAGAACTCAAGTGACATGAAAAAGAAAAGAGTCAAAGAGAAAATGAACAAATATAGATATTGATTTTATTTACATTATCATTTACACTCTTCTGCTCTGAAGTGGCAGTTAGTATTACACACTAGATTCTTTTATTCTCTCTGGTACTTCATTCATATACATATACAGACTATGCATGACTCCATCATGAGTTTGAAGAGACTGTGCAATAAGACAGATATACAGACAGTATACTATAAATGGATTTGTTTTGCTCTGTTCAAAATGCAGCATCACCATTCCAACACATTTTTATACTCAAATGATAAAATATATCAAGCATAATTTGTCCCAAAAAATAATCTGCCATGCAATAAGAAGCATTGGGTTGTGAGGTGAATAAGATTTATAGGTAGTATAGAAGTATTTGTTCATTCTGTACAGACATCCGCACTCAAGTCTCTTCTAATAGACGATGAGTGAGGTATTGGTGATTTTGAAACAAAAAAGCAAGAAACATACAATTTCCCCCTTTAAGGCTGTGGTATGTGTACACTGTCATAAACAAAACATTCTGCTTTTCCTCAAATCAAGTTGATAAAAAGAACAAAGGATACAGTACATCCAGTATGCATGCAGTATTTAAATAACAGCAATAGCTATAAATCCCTAAAAGTCAATAAGCAGGTGTTTGAAGGCGTAGAAAGGAGGAGCAAGTACTTTCAATCCATTCAAGAGTAGATTAATCAGCCATGTAGGCTTCTTCTAAGTGCTGTAGTCTATCCACCAAGAGGTGAGCATTCATTAATGGCAACACACACAGTCATCCAAATGCACATCTTCTTGTACTGAGTGTAGTATGCAAACCAGACCCAGCAATGGATGTGCCAGATACACTCCCAAATTATTTCCCATACCTGAAATAGCAATCAGTAGCTACTACTCCTTAACACTTAAGGTAATGGCTACACGCACAGAAAAGACATAAGAGCAGAAACAGAAAAACAGCATAATCCTACATCATCATCAACATTTTGACATACAATTTGCCGACATGTTACACCTTTACACCTGTAAAATATATGCAGAAAATTTTAGCACTTCGACTATCAACAGATGAAACATTTTGGCTAAATAAATATCCACTGTGAAATTCCACTTTTATGAAGACCTTTGTGCATACTGTTTTGATCCCAAAACTGGTCGATGAAAAAAACATGTGCATCACCTTAATGTTTAGGCAAACCATCCACCTATTTTATCAGAAAACATATATAACAAACATTTTGTGAAGATACATGACAGCAGACAAAATCTGTCACTGAGTGGAGTGGAGATAATTTAAGAGGTTTTATTATTGTGAGCAAAATTTTAAAATACATACACAAACCTGATCTTTTATCTTTGAGCAAGTACACCTTGGTCCTCTAAAGTGTGTGTGAGCAGTGAGGTCTATTGAAAGGTAGTTTAGGTGTACTTATGAGGAGCTGAGGCCAGAATCGGACTCAGCACTGCCAGCACGGGCCTTGGAGGCAATGCAGGGAGCCATGGAGCAGGGAATGGAGTAGCAGGAACAGGTGGAGCTCTTTAGGGTCTCCTCTGTAATAACCTCCTGCAGGGAGTGTTGCTCCTCTACTTGGAAGATATTTGGCTGCTCTCCTTGGTCCTCGCAGATGCTAAAGGAAAGGGATCAGACATCCATCAGTTAGATGAGTGGACAGTAGTTGGTGTAAACTGGTGCCTCACAAGTTTCTTTGACTACTGTCCGTCATTCAAAAACCAAAGTGACAGCAGAGTTTTCCTGACCCAAAAACATGTTGCTAACAAAAGTTAAAGAACTATGAAGTCACGCAGATGAGCAGTATGGCTTGGTGACAGGGTTGAAATATATACATCACAACAATAGTGAGAGTATTTTTCCACTATCTACTGCGATAACTGCACAGTGTAATATGTTCCACTGTCACATCAGACAAAACTCTTCATATTTCACTCACTCTGTCACATTAAATTACAGTTTGCTGGGAATGAATCATTTAAGGAACATTTAGTAAAGCAATAACAGGTTAGGATATGATGGTGTGATTATACTATCATGATACAATCCACTTTAAATTGTGGATTGCTTGTAGTGCTTGAATTATCACCAAGCACTACTGAGTAGTCCTGTGGAACAAAGTCTATTGTTATCTTTATTATTAATATTATAAAGTTAGTACTAACAATAAGATCATATAATATAATTGAAGTTTATGGATTCATTTTTATTTTCTAAATTTAAAAATTTCATCTGCTATAAGTGGAAAAAGAATAGTAAAATGTGGCAAGATGCAAAAATACAAAGACTACTAGTCTAGTCCAGTTCTGCTCCCAACTAACTAGTAGAGGGGTAATGTGACCATACAGAAGCTCCACACTTTTTTCATGCACCTATGTTAATGAAAACTGTTTTTTGCATTCACTTTGACTGGGGGGATGATTGCACTGGTTTACATTTTTATGAGAAAGAGCCTTTTCTAATTGTTTTACTCAGTTAAGAGGATTTTGGATGCCACCTGCACATTCAGGGCATCTCACCTTTTACCTGCTTGGCATGCACCACATTTTGTGAAGCAATGCCCAAGGGCATGACTCGCCAAATATGATGATCAGTGGGTTAGCAAGATTACTTTGTTCTGCACGCTAGGTTTTCAGTTATATGTGGGTGGCTCACCTATACAGGCGATTAAAGCAGATTAAATACTAGGCACGGCCAACGTCCTCAGCAGTCAAGTATGGAAAACAAAAACATCATTCTTTCCCCATATGGACAATGACTGACATTGTTCTCATAAGCTTAAACAACAGTATATGATATTATATAAGTGTTACAGAAATTTTGGTCCCCGAGTGAGCCACTCCTCTGAGGCTGTGTGTTCTCCATTATGAGCTCTATCAATAAAATATTTTACAGTAGGTTACTGTTTTTACAGGTGTATTGGTTAAGGTTTGGATGCCGGCCAAACATAACAATAACAGTTGAACTTTTGCACACGTTCAAAGTAACATATGTCTTGGTAGGTGAACTCAGGAATTACCATCTTGTGGCTGTATGCCTCCGTCAACCAGTCAAAGTGCAGTTTATATCGATGTCTGTCCAGACTCATAATATATGTAGTGATGACTTTGAAGGAACTTAAAAGGTATTAAGTGTATTTTTTGATTTGTGATATAGGGATATATCAATAAAGTTGACTTGTCTTTGTTGAAGCTTTGTTGTACTGTATTAGTGTGGAAGTTCATTGACAGAAACACAAAAAAGTGTCAAATTTCAGAACCAATTCTGATTGAGCACAAAGTTGTAGCCAAAACAATAGACAATGCTTCAAATATGGATGTTGCTGCAAAGAAGCTACAAATTTAAAAATATCGATGCTTCACACTCATCTACAACCCGGCAGCACAGAAGATCTATCGAGGTTGGTACCTAAGATTAGTGTCACCAATTCAGTTTTCAACCAAGTATGAAATATGGTCACAATCTCCCCTTCTGTTCCTGAGTTACAGTGTTGAATAATGTCCAGAAATGTTTTTGCAGTACATTATAATGTGAAAGTGAAGTTGACTTTGGATTTTTTGGATATAAAATGTCATCACTTCATCATTTTATCCTATTAGACCTTTGTGTGAAATTTTGTCATAATTGTGTCCAAGTCCTTCAGCTATGGCCAAAAATGTGTTTTGTGAGGGCAGTGTAAGGGGATAAAAAGTCCCATAGTATAAGTTACTCTCTTATAGTGAACCTGCTCAAAGGAGGAAGGTCACAGTCACCCTTGTGAGCCCAGTTATCCAAAGTGGCAAATGTAAGATTTTTGTCAAGCAAGATATTTTGATTGTGTTCAACAAATTTCATAACACAATCTGCTAAGACGGAGCAGTGCAACTCATTTTCAAGGCTACAAGAAGCATCCAGCGCAATCACCCCTTTTGTAAAGAAACCAAATGGCAGTACAAGCAGATCATCCACAAACTTAATAGGTGCAAATAACAGAAAATATACTTGTGAAAAATATGCTGTGATATCTGACAAAGTTACTGAGAGGTGAATCGCTATACATGTGAGGCTTAAATGCAGATCTCTTGGATCAAGGTTATTTGAGACAAATGCAAATACATATTTTTTGGTTCACACACAAGGCCAGTACGTCAAGGAACACTGTCATGCACTAAACAAGCCATTCACTCTTGTTGCCTCTTTTGCTTTCTATATCATGTTGAGTATTGACGGGTGTAAGGAGGCTTCAGAAATGATAAACATGGCAGTTGACCAATCAAACAACTGTGTTTAGTACTATCCAAGTTTTAAGAAAATCCAAAAAGCTAAAACAACAATAATCACTGAAACATCAAGTGCTATACTATTAAAGTGTCGGACATATAGTGCTGTGCAAAAAGTTTTAGGCACTTTTGATGTTTAGATTCTTATCCATCCCACAATCCCATCGGAGAGACGTCTGACTGACAAATTCATCCCGCTGCATGACAACAACCTCAAACATCCAACTCACGTCCTAAAGAACCATCATCAGCAACAAGGAGAAACAAGGAGTCCTGCAACACTGAGCTGATCGCAACATCATGGACTCAGTCTGGTATTACATAAACGGACGAAAACACTGAAACAGCCTAAATCCACAGAACTGTGGCAAGTTCTCCAAGATGCTTGGAACAACGTACATGCCAAGTACCTTGAAAAACTATCCACAAGTGTACTGAGGAGAACTGGTGCTGTTTTAAAGGCAAAGGGTCAAAACAAATATTGATTTGATTTAGGTTATTTCTGTTTACTGCATTTTAAATAGTGTTAATATTAATTTTTAAACTATTCATGGCATTGTTTTTGAAAACATCCTCACTTTACTTTTAGTGCCTAAAGTTTTTGCACAGCACTGTATGAGAAGTCAACCGTCTTGCATCATTGTCAAGGAACACGATTTTGTTCCTTCTGCATTTTATGAGGAATATATGAACTTTCAGGCAGTATTTGAGGGGAGAACCAAAACCAGCCAAGGGTTGTAGAGTGAGTAAATTAACAAAACACAGACAGGAACCAGAGAAACATTACGGGAATCAGAAGAACTTGAGTCAAAATATGGCACCAAGCATTCACAAATTCTGTAAAACAAGAGGCAAAGTTATAACAACAACGTGGAGAGGTCAAATGTTTTGATTTGAGATGTTAAATAAAGTTACATCTGGAATCTTCAGGGAGTATTGAGTTGTAAGATAAGAGTTCAAAGCCTATAGTCTGCTTTCTGCAGGGTTCTGTAAAAGTCTGGGTCAACGTCCAAACATTAATATAGAGTAAAGGTCGTGGTAGGGTGAAACACAGAACTGAAACAGCTGAGCAAACACTCTCTGCTGACCACGCAGCTTTGCTAAGATCAGAGAAATCAGTTTCACTTTGACAGAGACCCAATCTTTATGTAACAGCATTGGCACGTTGTGTACTAATGTCGCACTCACACACAAAATGTTCAATGAATAATCCAACCATTTTCATCAGCAACTGTGGCAGGTGCCAAGTGATTATGGTGTCTGCCAGTGCTTGATTATGTAACCCTGACTCCTGAAACACTGCAGATGGGGGGAAAAAAAAGGCCTTGTAATCATACAGTGGAATAACAAGGAAGAGCACTGTGAATGCAGTAATCAAAATTATGAAACTGAATGTCCTGATCAATAACTCAATTGTGGCTTCAGGCTGAAAACAGACCAATGGCGCAGGGTGTACAGAACAGGATGTTATGTAACAGGGGACGATTGTAGCTCGGAACACAATTATGAGAGCATTTTTCAAAACAGAAATATCAGGAAAGTGCAGTAACTGAATGTTTGATTGTGCAAAGAAAATGTGTTTGTGGATATACAGTACAGAGTTGGTTTTGCTTGGGTCTGTGTGTTTCTAGTTTACCCGACAAGCATTGAGGTCTTGAGGCGCTACGAGGCAGCCACGGATAAGCATGTCACATTTCAACCTACCTATCATAGATGAGCCCATCAATTCCCTGCTCTCTCAGCGTCCTCCGGGTCTCGTGGTCGTTGTTGTCATCTCCCCAGCTGAACACCACCAGGCCTTTAGACTGGGCATCCCCAATGTAGGTGAGGTTCTTAAGCAGCTCCTCCGTGTGAGCGCTGATCCCCTGAAGGAGCAGCCGAGGAAGTCCAGTTAGAAAAAAAAAAAAAAAAAGCCTTGTTTAATCTTGTTAAATTCATCCTAAAATAAAAGTCACTTCTTCTCTTCTCACTCTCACGTTGGCTTAAACATTGGTAAAGTCTTAATGTCTTCATAATACATAAGTAAGACAATTCAGCTACAAATGTGCCTTCAACAAAAAAAAAGTGATGTGAGATTATGTTGCCTAAGCTGTCTGGAGACATTTTTGACCTTAGTAAAACCACTTCGGATGTCTAAGAGACAGCTGACACAGCGCTATGCAAGCTGACTTGTTTGTTATGTAGACTGTGTTTTTGACTGACGTGAGGCTGGTGGGTATGAAATGCTTATATAGACGCTATACAACATCTGGAAAATTCAGTCAATACATTATGAAAAACATTTATCTTTCTGCTACAACTGCTCACCAGAATATTCTCACTCTGGGCGAAACTTATGGCGATCTGTGTGGTCTGGCAGCGGATGTCCATTAGTTCAGGATACTTTTCTGAAATTCCCTGAGTAAGGAAGAGGATGGGGTACTTGTTCTGCTTGTGACGCACCCTGAGAGAAACATGAAAAGATGTCACAATCACCATCTACGTAGGAGAGAACCTATTAATAACTAAAACATGGAGACAAAGCATCTGTTTACTGGTAACTTGGCTTTTCTTCAAAATTGATTTGTAAAGAACAAGAATCTTTTAAACACTGTCACATTCTGAGATGGGTAATAGTTTCAAAAATATAAATTGACAGAAACTGAACTGCTACTACAAAAAGTAATCTTTTGTGTTGTGCTTTTTCTGGTAATGAGTCCAGTTACATTCAGAAGACATTCTGTAAATTGTTTGTCTGAAATATCTTAATGTCTGAGAAAGAAATTGAGCTAGGCATGCTAATCAACATTAGCATACTATTAAATTAACATTTATTTAAAATAAAATGTGTGCAAATCAATAACTTCATTACCATGTAACATTATTGTGTTTCTGAATAGAATGCTATTTCCAGTCTGATCAAATCTGGCCATACTTTATCCTCAGTTGTCAATTGTGCTTACATGGTGCAGATATCTGGGTCGAAGCAGGAGAAGACGATGCGTCTTTTGCCGCCTTTTTGCAGAACACAAGACAGGATGATGTCAAGGAAGGTATTCATGTTGAAGTAGGATGATAAGTTGCCATCCCATGACCCGTCCTGTCAATACAAAGCATTTATCAATTCAGTTTATTATGAAAACACAAGACATGAATTCACAATGAACTCATTCAATCAAAGTAACTGTTGCAATACTCTGTCATTCACCTTCATCTGGCAGATCCACTTGAGCTCAATGTTGAAACCCACATGCTCAGGAATAGCCTGAAAGATCTGTAAGAGATATGAAATATGTTTTTTTTAATGTAGGTAATAACTGATAAGTTATTGACAAATAATTTGTTATTTAACAGACAGCAACAGAACCATTGGCAGAGAGTGCCATTCAATATAGGTGATGGGAGTTCCCTAGTTTTACTGTTCATCTACTTGTGAGGCTAAGGGGAACAGCTTATAATGATTAGACAAGATATTTAATAATGATGATCACCAAGAAGTAATCTACCTGCGAGAGTGATGGGAATGGCTGATGCTCATCAATTTCGTCTTCATCGTCCAGCAAATCTGAATAAAAAACAGAAGAGATGACTGCTCATGATTGTGGCACACACACAACTCCTGGCCTAATTCTACATTCACAGCCACTTTGCTGTGACGTAAGACGAGGGCATACAGGTCTTCAGAACAACAAACACCACCAGTAGGTACATACCTTTGTTATCATTTTCTTTCATTGCAGTAACATGGGCCAGCTGTGCAACAAAACATAACAAAATAAATCATACATGATCTTGTCATTACGTAAAACAAATGGTTACATGATGCCACATGCTCTGACTTGCCCACAGTCCTGTTTTAAATGTCTGTTTCCCTTGTTGTTGTTTTTAGCAGAAGGGAGTGGTAGGAGAGGGAGTGGTGGTTCAGATTTGTTCACTGTTCATTTTGTTTCATGTCAAGGGTTTATTGCAACTTGGGTCTTATTTGCACAGTTTCATTCCAGGTTTTTACCTTCAGAAGCTGCAGCTGATCAAATGTCAAGTCTTTGACTGGCACCTCAATGAGCTCCAGTGAAGTCTTGTCATTTTTCTGTCAAGGAGATAAAAAGAATTACATTCATTGTTTTTTAGTAAAGACATACATTTGTTCATGCTTACCACTTTCTTAAACGTATAGTGATCCAGTGATAATTAGTTAATGGAAAGTAAAAATACCAACAGAGAAAAATAACTTGAAGTCACTTTCATATTTCCATCATCAAGAACAACAGGCCTTAAATTTACCTTCTTGGTGGATATGCAGCATGTCAGATCATGGTATACAATAGGAACAGCATCCTTGGAGAGGTGAACATCAAACTCCACATAAGCTGCACCCTACATGTACACAATTGACATATAATTAAATGTTATTAAATTAATAAAAAAGGCAGAAGTAATGTTGAAGGTAAATAATTGCTCATGAACTAATCACGTGAAAACTTACATGCTTGGCAGCACTTTTGAATGAGGCTACTGTGTTCTCCCTGATTCTGTGGTGCCTGTAAAATACAAATTAGAAGACAATTTTGTTGAAAGGGAACAGAAGCGGAACATGCACCCTATTGGCACACACTGTTGTGCTAATGACCACTCTATCCTAGCCAACTCAAACACTTATTATGACTCACTTGGCTGCATGTGTGCTGCCTGCTCCTCTGTGGCCCACATCCAGAGTGCTCCTTTTCTTCCAGTACTTGGTGAACGAGGAGCTCATGTCACACTGCAGTCCCTGGATGGGCCGAATCACCAGGTAATCCACTGGAACAGGGTGAACAAATGAAAAGAAAAAACAGTTTCAGTTTCGCACCCTCTTTTTTGCATACAGACAAATCATTGTCGGCCAGTGTGGGACTCTTTTGTAAAAAAAAATCTTACCTCTAACTTTCCCAATGGTCTGTCTGAAATTTCGACCCATTATTGGAAGTGTGGCCACTCCGATGTCTTTGCCACTCTCCAAAAAAGAGGAGGAGAGGAGGCAAGCTGTGCCCACATGTCCGGGATGAGCATCTCCCTGGACCACATGCTCACCCAGATCCTCCTGTAAACAAATATATTAGATTTGTACAATTTTGATCACATAAAACCACATAAATCTAATTGTGATGCCTGATTTGTTCTTCCTTTTACACTTGTATTTGTAAGTCAAGAATACAAACTTGTATCTTTTTAACAAATTGGTTTACTGGTGTATCAGAGGCCATGAGTTATTACCTCAAAGAACTCAAAGGTGAGCTCTAGGTTGTCTGGGTCCATGGTGTGGATACTGTACTCAGTCCACTGGGAGGGCTCCAGTGCATTCCCACACTCAGGCTGTGAGTGACGCGATTTATAGCCATTGGCACTGATCATACTGATGTCCAGAGTGGAGGTCATCTTGGGCCAAGACGAAGGACTGATTGCCTCGTCCTCTTCATCTTCCTCCTCCTCAATGCCCTCCAATGTCAGCTTGATCCTGGATAGATAGGTAAAATAAAAAGTGAATCAAAATATTATAGTCATATTGAAAGCCACATGCATTTCTAAAAGAAAATGCATCAAAACATAAATAAGTAGTTAAATCAAATTACATCGTACTTTCAGCTTTTCTTACTATAATTGTTGTATGTATGTATCACTCTTTGGTAACAGGCAGGTCGGGTAATAGTAGCACTGTAATGATCCATCTCAAGTTGCTTTGAAGTAGAACTTTCTCTGGCTGGTGTTGAAATCGACCTTGGTGTCAGCCCTACCTGAACCGAGACTTCTTGAATTTCTTCTTCGTGATGGACACCGGAGACGTCTTAGAATAGTGCAGACGTAGGCGAATCTCTGTCTGGCATGTGAGCCACCCAGAGTCAACACAATTCACCCCATCTATAAAAAAAAAAAGAAAAAAAAGGGAGGACACAGACAGGATGCTTTTGTATTTGATGACAATGTATATATGAATGCCGACCAGAGAACAGGTTGCAGTGACAAAGCAGGGAGGACACAATTGTTTGCTCTGTTGTAATAGACGACCTCAAAACCTCTGCTGTACAAAACAGATGAAGTGACTACAATGTGGTCTGAAGGGATTTCAGTTATCTTGAAGGATTAAGCACATCAGTAAACCATTTAGCGCCACAGTGCTTCTATCTTACTTTTACACAGTGTAGACCTATACAAGGTGAATAACACTGAGAGTTCCCTTGTGACAGTTGTTGTGTTTGTAGTTTGGTGGTGGCTGGTTGCTTTTTCAGTCAAACTTACTGTGAATTCCAAATTGCCCATCATCAATATTCTGGTGTGATGCTGCAATGAAGGAAAAAGGAATTAGAAACAGCATAGAGGAATCTTAACAGTACAAAAATTGAGGTCAGATCAAACCAGTGCATTTCCAGTGTTTTCCCCATTTTGAACACTAGAAACCAGATGCCAAATTTAAGCCTCCAATGGTTTGTTCTGAATTTGATTTGCCTCAAACTCAAGAGTTCACTCATCACTACACTACTCTGAGTATGAGCTTGTCATCGGGGTTAATTTAGCAGGATGTTTATGAAAATCAAACAGAACACTCCAGGATTGAAAACAAAAATTTATTTAAAACAAATTCTCATTTTAGTGAGAGAGGCATTTTATTAATATTTGCTACAAGAAAGAAAGAAAAAGAAACAAGGATCGGGTGACAGGTTGTGGTCAAAAAGGACATGAAGCAGGGTACAGCAATGGCTGCAACTATTCTTCCTATCAAGCTCATTTTGAATGAGCTTTGTCTGTGTTCTGCCAACACAATGGGGTTTTAACTAGAGAGCTCTACTATATCAGGTCATGACATCTACTGTGATGCAGTGTTTCCTCTATGGCTATAGATTATTCCAGCAAGTGTTGTCCCTGTTCTTTGCCAAAACATAAACACACTGCCACAAAAGCAAGCGTATCCAGAGACTACCAGTAAATTACAGACAGTGTTTGTTGAAGAAACGCTGCAGTCAGGTGGCAGTATCTTAATTTAAATATACATTTTGCCCAAAACAAAAAAATCCATAGTCAGATTCAACTATCCCTGAAATAATAACCTTCTTCTTCAGAGAGATGAGCAAGAAGTGACCCTGATGAGCATTTTTATATATAATGCTAGGGCAGGGAATGGGAAGTCTACAGGGGTTTGAGTATGACACACTTTTCCAAACCCAACCACAATGTGCACCGTTTTTCATTGTTCTATACCTGTGGGGCTCATCGTGCGGGGCTGGTGATGGGTCTCCCACATATTGACTATCACTTGACAGGGACCACCTGCACTCTGCAATTCCAATGTTTGGCACAATGTTAGGGTTTTCAAATAGGATACATTGAACTACTTTTCAGTCTGGTCTCAAAGATATCTGTGGACCAGAGAGTGAGAAAGGAATTAGAGCTAGTATAGTCACCAATCCCCAGCTAGGGCAGTCAGCCACCAACGATTGTAGCCTGAAAAGTGAATTAGTTAGTGAAGAAAAAAGAACTTTTCATTAGTTCATCGAACATTTCTTTAGTTACACATCAAGCTGCTCTCTTTATCTGTAATAAAACCATCATTAACTATAGCAATGAAATGTTTGTAGCCTTTTGAGCTCTGCCATTTAATTAAATCATTACAGAGTTGAACGCAATATTCCACTGAGACAAAATAATCCAACACTGCTCAGGTCTGCAATTCTGAAAAACAGGGTCCATGAGTTAAAGAAAGGTTTACATTGCTGTTACAGGCATGGGGAGGAGCTTCATTTTGTCAAATTTCTAAAATGGCATTTCTAACATTTCTAACATTTAACTGTTGTGCAACAATAACATGTTTCAGGTCACAAGGAGGTGAGGCACCTCACAAACAACACTGCACAACGACAAGAGGAAGTCAAGTCACAGCAGGACCATAGTCTCACACAATGTGAGCTCCACCCTTGGGATACAAAATAATAAACACATAAATACTAAGAGAGAGGTAGACAACGGGACACATTTTTCCAGGGAAATGGCTGACTCATTTTCTTTCTCTTTCTTTTCAGGGAAACTTGATCCCTGATATGTTTGTGTACATATATACGGGCCTATCAGCAACTTGGACATGGCTCACATGCTTAGATTAGAGAAGCTAGCTGATAGTTTGCCTGCGGTCGGTAATTCCACAAGACTAACCTAAGGTTGTTTCTAAAGGGCATAAAGACAGATGCAGGGAAAGTGATTTTTCATTGTGTAAGTGATCCTCTGACACACGCTTTCAAAGTCAGTGCAATAACAAAAAAACAAAGATACCCTGTTTCTCCCCTTCCTGTTGATGAGCTGTAAAAGGAAAGGTATCAATTGACAGAAAACAAAAACTTATAATCATCACATCACATCAGAAACATGCAACAATACCTTGACATTTACTTTGAATTTACTTTGGCCTTGAATTCAACAGTTATTATCTTTTTAACAAGTAATATCCAATACCTCTTTCAAAAGGTTATCTTGGCCAACTGTAAAAAAAAAAAAATCTGTGATTTATAAAGCTATACCACTATACAGACAGGAGACTCTGCTCACCTTTGACTCCAGAAAGAAGCCTTTGAAGTAGCGGTACTTGGAAACAATTCCTTTAGGTACAGTGATTGTTGCAATCCAGGTATTTCTGTTAGGGAATCAACAGACACATCAATATTAAGAAGTGCAAAAATGATAAGGAAATCAGACCACTACTTGCATGTAACCTAGTAGAGAAAACAATATACTGTCATATTTTAAAATCATGTTGTTAACAAGTCAGGCATTACATATAAATGTTAACCTACCCATCATTACCACTTGGATGTAATGTCACAGCTTTTTGATGGCTCCAGCAACCCAGGGCTTCACAGCTACCAACGACAGCAATCACCTCACCTAGAAATGTTCAAACTGACCTGTAACCTCATGTAAATTCAGCTAAAAAAATACAAATATGCCTTACATTTATAACCACCTCTACAATGTTCTGATATAAACATGGTTAAGATGTCTTCTTTGACAAGGAAATACTGACATGGACCACAAATCGTCTTCCATGTTACAACCTAGTGTCTAATAAGTGTGTGTGTAAACTTGGTAGAAACAGATTTTCACAATCATAACATGACAGGAACGTAACTCAACTGCTACTGCAACTGCAAACAATGATTTGAGTCGTTGTTATGGCAATACAAAAACACTTTACAACTAGACATCTAAAATAGTTCTAACGAGGGTCGACCCCTTTAACTTGAGCTGTGTCTTCAGTCAAGTTTAGCAGTCATACCTGGGGATGTTTCACTTCTGACAGCCAGAGTCACCTGAGTGGTCTCCATAGTTGATACGGGCATAAAGATTGGAGGCAGAAACAAGCTGAAAGACATTAACGGATTTTAAATAAACTGTTTTATTCAATTACCGGATAATCAGTGACAATTTCAGCGATGTACAGAAGGAAGGTATAGTCCTGTCTGTGCCATGATAAGTTCTACTTAAGTTACACTTCTACTAGCTAACGTTCTGTAAATAGCAACACTTTCAATACTTTCAAAACATCTGGGGCGGAGAAAGGTATAACATAAGCAAGAACTACAAATAAGATAACTACTTTCTTACTTTTGGCAGCTATGTGTCGGCTCTTGGCAGCCTCGAAGATGGAAAATTCACAGTGAAATCATTTGTCTATCCCGATGAGAGTCATCGATCTGAACGAAAGCAAACATGCTCCGCACCGTAAGCCATTGCTGCCCAGCTTGTCAAAAGCGAAGATATTAGCTTGAACTTAACTGAAAAATATCACGAGCACAAAAATAACGCCTGGAGTAACGCAGTAAATACAATACTGCAAAATCCCCAACGAAAAGGATATAATCCGACTACTGTACTCTATCTACCATCGCGGGGACAGATAAGCCAAAACAAAGGCTGAACCTGAAAAGCAAACATTATGCTGCCCGATCGTCAAGCCAACCAATACGAAATAATGTTACGGTATATATATATCCGGTACATTTCAAAGTAAAATGCTCACAGTCCAACAGGCTCCGATATAGTAAATCAGTCAAAGAAAAATCGTTCATATGATTTATACGAATTGCTATAACTTAATGTAAAATTCTAAAAGAGGACTTAAATGTTTCTCCAAAAATATAACTGTAGGGTACACTCCACTCAAAAATTGTCCTACTAAAATGGCTTGCTTGCTTTTAAATGATAAAAGTATTTCCTTAATTATCCAATATAAAGTTGACAGTGGACATTGGGTTGACAGCCCAAAAGATTATCTATGATATCAACAAAGTGATACATTAACTGGTAATAATTTTAGGAATTTGGAGGAATTCACATTCTCTGATTACACGTATTAGACGTGTGGGTTTTAAAGACTTTGTCTCTTTTGAGGCAATACATAGATCAGAGATTGCCTATATCAGAGAGTAATGCTGGGAGATACAACTCACATAAAGCATTAATGAATAAATAGATGTGATTTTTCAGACTTTCAGCTTTTCTTGATCACACATTCCTTAGGTAGGTTAAACTGCACTGGGGGCATGGTGTCAGAAACTTTAAATACCTTTATAACGCTAAAATACAACACTTCCAGGTGTAATTTCAAGTACAGTACTATCGTTACAGACATCTATGACTTTTATTTTGAAGATTTCATTTCCATACTTTGTGTTGTGTTCTATCTTCCGCTAGCTACTTGACGAAGCTGGTTCATTCCGCCCTGCTCTGGATTTCTAGCCTGTCAGCTATGCTGCATTGAAGTACCTTCGGAAACTCCGCCATATACGAGCTGAGCGTACATGTTCAACCCCAAAAAGCGATAAACAAACGGGAGAGTCGTACCCTCTGAAACATCGTACTCATCTTCCAGATGTTAGAGAAACGGATGAAGTTTTGGCGAATTTGTTAGCCACAAACAACGGACGTGATATATTTTCTTTTCCAACTTGTTACTCTACTAAATCATTAATCTTTGCGAATTTCTTGAGTAAAATTGAAGTTATAATTTTAAGTACTTTAGTTACTGGATCAATTTTGTATTATTTACGGACAAATCCGGTCGGAAATTATAAGACAATTACAAGATCATTACGAAATAACAAGTAGACTTTCATCGTGCTACCTTCGGTGTAGAAGTTTACCTGGTATCTACAATGCCGCATCATGGAGTTGTTTATGTTAGCCACCGAAAATACACGGATAAACTTAGCGGTAGAAAACGTTACGTTAAAGAAAATTACATTGCGTGTCAACAAGGTAATAGCAAGTGTGAACATACCGTTCGCAGAAATCGATAAACTGGCACATTTTTGTTGATAATATGACTTGTTTTTGAAGATGTGGCAGGGGGGGGGGGGGGGGGGGGGGGGGGGGGGGGGGGGGGGGGGGGTACACACTGACGTCATGTATACTGCAATCTTAGACTGTTGACCTAAACATATCCATATCCAAAACACACAAAACAGAGTCCTGTCTAGAAAAACTTTTCTACGAAAGCGTTCACTTGCATAACTGAAACGTGATGCCGTGCCTCAGGCGAGTCAAGGGCAAATGATCATTTTTCACTGGCTGCTGGGACAGACAGGGATCAGGTGGCAAGTGGCCTTTTGGCTTAAATATCTTCTCAGGCTCACATGGCCTAAAGGCTTTAAATACCATTAACTCTTTCACTATCACCACCCCTACTCTAAAATCCAACCTAGAGCGCTAAAATTGAACATTCAGGTTTTATCAACAGAAACATAGACAAAGAGCAGTTGATTAATATTATCACTACTGGAACTACTTCATTCAAAGGACATGGTTAATTTATGAACAGCATTGACCCAGGGACCGATGCATGTAATGAACTGTGCATCAGAATGGCTGTCATTTCTTCTACATTCTCCAGCTGTCCACAACTATGGTCACTGAACTGCCCCACTGCAGATGGATATCGAGTACCTTGATCAAAATTACTTAAGCACTGGGTGTTACCATATGCTATTGAGGCATATATCTGGTCAACCAACTGTCTCTCTGTTGTCAGCCATGTTACACTGGACACTGTCAGGCTGTCTATGAGGAGTGACTGGCCCAAACAACATCTGACCTTCAATAATGAACCTGGACCCTCAAACACAAACTGCTACAAACTTGTGAACCTCCAAACTGTCACCTACATAACAGTGTTTAGTGTGTGGAGGCCCTGCAGTTGATGTCACTGTCTGTAAAATCTCCTGTAGTGTCAGCAGATTATAAATTCTTCCTCGGTCCTCTGGCATATCACTGTTTTAATACTGACTGTTGATGTTGCTTGTTTCTTGTGAAAATATCCACAATTAATATCCACAATAAGCTGGAATCTAACAGTGTTTACAACAACAGCTTAAATGATGAGTTTCACATGTCAGAAAGAGAAAGCTGGACAAACAGAAGCAACGACATGTAAATGAATGATTATATTCATCACTCTTAAACTACTGGGGCTGTAGCACCAGTGGGAACAGCTGGAACAGCCTGACAGTCAGATGATGATGGCCCTCTGCCTGAACATCTAAATAATATAAAATGATCAAAATAAGAATTCATCACAGAACCATGACTACCCAAAGAGAATTTAAACTCTGCCAGGGGCTGCAGGGTGCCTCTGCCAACAAAGAACATACAACATACATTAGGCGTTTTCGACCAGTAGTCTGCAGCCCCCTGGTGGTCCATGAAGGCATCGCAGATGGCCCCTGACTGAGCATTCAATATTGCTGTTTCACTCTGGGAATCACTATTTAAATTCACATAAGACTTTTCCATGTATTGATTATTGTTTGTTAATAATCAAATTAATGCAAACATATAAAATTTCGAAAATCCAAGGCGCCTTTCAGGATTAAAATGGTGCCCATCCAGTCTGTCACTGGTAGCCTGTGTTTAATTACTAATGTTGGAATGCATATAATGTGCAGATTTGTACTACTAGCCTACTTGACTTGGCCTTGTGAATGCAATATCTCAGGAACTCCACAAGGCAATCGCTTCAAATGTGGCACAAATGTCTACTTGGACCCAAAAATGAACTGATTGGATTTTTGTGGGTAAAGGTCAAAGTTCAAGGTCATGGTGATCACACCTTCTTATGAATGCAATGTATCAGGAGCGATCAGAGGAGTTTTATTACATCTGGCACAAATATTCATTTGGTCTCAATGATGAACTGATTAGAATTTGGTGGTCAAAGGTCAAAGGTCAAGGTCGCTGTGACCTCACAAAACACGTTTTTGGTGTTAAACACAACTTCATATGCTATTTATACAAATCAGTGGATATTGCCAGGGATGTACATTAGTGTTATAACTCTTAATTAAAAATTATTTTAACATAATTATAAAAGAAGGAAATATTTGATTCAAAACTATATCCATTGATGTGTTTCGGTTTTTATAATGACTCCAGAACAGAGTACGAACATACTTCCATAATAATACACTAAAACCTGAAAGATATTTACACTAAATTCAGGAACTGGAACTTTCAAATCTTGAGTTTTGTTCTTCCATCTGTGAGTTATGTAGCTGCTAGCTAGTAAGTTGTCTAACAATTCTGGGCTCTGTCTGTCTGCGATTACAGGAGTGATATCATGATCATGACCATGTCATGCAATATATACTGTATATGTGCAATCCATAGCAACCAGAGAATCCAGACACCAGCATTGTATTTGTTTATTTATTTTATTCACATTATTCAAAAACTAAGGAAAACATCTTCTGCAATAATTTCACTCTGTATTTGTTCACAAAGCAACAATTCAATGGCTTTTGTCAGCTGGTTTAAAGAGATGGCAGCTAAATGAAAATCTAAAGGCAAAAAACAGTGGAAATATTTGGTTTGCTAACAAAGTTTTTTCAGACACACTTATGTATATTGCACATGGAGTAGTCTATAATTTCCAACCTTCTGAGCTAATTTCTAAACTGCATGCAACCAAAGCCTCCAGCTGCAGGATGTGTCTTTGTCCACCCTTATCTCTCAGTTCTTACCCCAGCAGCCACATCCACATTCATGCCTCCAGTGTCATTTCTCCCCCAAGCCCCTTCTTCTGTCTCCTGTTCAACAGTTCCCAGCACTGCTCCTCTCTCAATTGCTGTTGTGTTTCATTCCTCCCAGACCCAGACTGCATCCTCTGCCCCATCAACCATTCTTGCCCCATACATAAAAACTTTGTAACTCTGTTAGGATAATGTTGTGCACTGTTGTGCCCCCACACTGTTGTGAGGGGGCAGTTCAGAACAGCATTCACAGGACACAGCAGTACAAGGGCAGTATACTGTTCTAATTCAGAGACTTTCCTTCTGTTTCTGATTTCATTAGAATAAATTGAATCTGTGAATCTGTTGATCAAAGTTTGAGTCTGTCAGCAGGATTTACTGACTGGATGTGTCAATAAAGTTTTTTTTTTAAGTTTTAAAGTCAAGGAAGTTGTTCAGAGCTGCAGGAGAAAAAACATAAACCTGATCTGATCATATAACTGAGGCCATTTTCCTCCTGAAACTGTCAGCAGTTTATTATTTACAAGGCAAGACTGTCTGATTTGTGGTTTAAAAGCAGATGGAGAGATTTGATTTCAGCTGGTAATTTGTTGGGTTGGACAGCAGGTGATGCTGCTGCACCAGAGACCAGTAATCACAACACTACCCTCTGTCACTTGCAAACAAAAAAACTTACACCTCTACACACAACGGGACACTGTTGACCTTAAAGACCTCTTAGATAAAAATTGTACAAAACAAGTGTTTTCGTTTCTGACATTTTATCATCTGCATATTGTTGAAGACAAGTAGTTTGAAGAATACTGAGGAGTTGATGGCTTATATGAAAAAAAGTTAAATCTTCAGTTTCACAGTAATAAAATACAAATGAATGTATGAAGAAAATTGACACACAGTACATATGTAAACACGATTATTTCTAGCAATACCTTGTTAAGATGTCACAAAATAATATAACACAAAACATTTTTTAAGTTTAAAAAGAAGTTTTCTTCTCAGAGATGTGTGAAGTCAGCACATAAATATGAACATGTTTATCGCTGACATAAAAAGCTGCAGGATGTGAAGGTTTTGAGTTTCTTCTTATTGAACGGAGGCAGTGAAGTTTCCTGTTCATGTTCCAGTGTCTTTCTCTACCTCAACTGATATAGAAACATTATGAATATATAGAAATAAAGGCAAATTCTTTTAAATTACCCCATGTAACCTTTGTCTTTACACAAACCTAACAGTCCTCATTTTTTCATCACTTGAGCGTAGAGATCTTCTGGGCTGTCAGCAGTGTGTTTGGAGCTGTTTGCTGTCTCGGACACTTTGACCTGTGCATACACCGTATCCTGCTGCTGTCCACTGTCCTGCAGGGAGTCAGAGGACGGTGCAGGTCTCAGCTTGGAGAAGTCGATCTCTCCATAATGGATGTTTTCTTCTTCTGTTTTACTGGCTGACTCTTCAATAACAAGCTCTTCACTTGTTTGACTCTATAAGAAATAAACCAAACAAGAAATGTGAGGTAAACCTTATTACAAAATCACAGACCCATCACAAATGAATTGAGGGGGGATTTGTGGACTAAAACTACATCACAGCACAGAAACTGCTCTGATCAGTTAAATAACACGGACAATGAGAACAGTTGGAAAACATTCAACACATGTAAATCTTTATTGTACAGGGATGTTAAATATTTTCCCACCTGAGTCTGTCGTGTTGACTTTAAACGCCTGGAAGACATAAGAGGCTGTTAGATGAATCATAATGAGTTTTAGGTTAAATATACAATGTGCCAGTAAAGTGTCAAGACTGAAGGGAGAAGAGATATTTTTGGATGTGCAACTAAATTGTAAATGTCAGTCAATCAGTAAGTGTCACTGAGTCAAGTCATCTGCTTTGACTTGTAATACTTACCAAACACAGACTATCAAGCAGATGAGAAAGATGACCCCAATGACTCCTCCAAGAACTGGTTCCCATTGCAGACCTTCTCCTGATAGAAAAACAAGCCATTACTGAAGTTCAACAAATAAAAAAGTAAGGCATATAACAACGGTGAAGAAGGGAATGAGAAAACAGCAGATAAGATTTCCATTAGTGGATTCAGTAAAGTAGCTGTACTGACTGCCTTTACCTTTAATAAGCAGACGGATCTCTAATGAGCTGTGATTACCAACATCATTGGTGGCCACACAGTAATAAACTGCTCCATATGTGGCCCTGAAACTGTAAAAGTGTCCTTCAGATACATTCATGGGTCCATCTGTGCTCTGCTTGAACCAGGTGAAGCGTCTGATGGGAGGCTTGGCTCTGCTGGAGCAGGTCAGGTTCACCCAGCTACCCGCTGGCACCAAACCTGATGGACTGATGGATGCTGAGGTGTCCTTGGGGGCATCTGGGGGAAATGTGACAAAGATGTGAGGGAGAGGAAGAGCATCACACCCTACTACATGAAATCTTTGGGGTGAAAAAGTGACATATCATGAATCCTTGTGTGCTGACAGGTTCCAATAAGAAAACAAACTGGTTGGCTTACATAAAACACTGAGGGTAATTTTATGCTTTGCTGTCTTGAAATGTCTTCCTTCATTCACAGGATAGCTGGCAGAACAGGTGATGTTGTATCCGTCATGTTTTTCTGACAGAGTGATGGTCTGCCTGATTTTAGTTGTTACGGTTCGATCAGTGTTTTCCTCTTTTTTGTTGCGGGGGTCTTGTTGGAGGTCCCAGGTGAGTTTCGGAGGGGAGCGTGGACAGGGAGTTAAAGCTGAGCAGGTTATATTGACAGACTCCCCCTCCCTCAGATCGCCTGTGATTTCAATTTTGGGGCTCAGAGCAGAATCTGTACATACAAGAATACAGTACATGACAGTTTGTGTCAGCGCTCAACATCTGCATATTTGACCCTTTTTATTGTAAAACTTACAAAAATTCAAAATTTCATAGAAGTGGAAAAACTTCATCCTGGACATTAAAACTTCTCAGATTCATGCGGAAGTTTATAAATTTTCATCCGATAATAAATGTGAAGGACTAAAAAAAAAAAAGTCACTGTGTGAGACCTCACTTTTTCAAGTCTGCTGATGATGTGATAAGGAAATATTTCTCTACCCAGAGGTAGCATGGTGTTCCTAATAAAGTGTTCAGTGAGTGTATCTCAACAGTTTCAGTCAGGACATTCAAAATTAGATGTGATGTGATTGCAAATGTTACTATTGTTTGCTGTCTAGGCCAAAGCTTCATCAATGATATTGGAAACAAATTAATAAAAAATGTTCTATTTTAAAACTTACCGTTAACATTTATTTGAAGAGAATGGCAAACAGCTGTTGCCACGAATGACCCTATCTCAATCCTGAAGAAGAATCTGTCTGTGTAAAATGTGGTCAAATTGGAAAATATAGTGGTGCAGTTTTTCTCTCTCAGGTTTCCAGTAATATTCACTGGATAGGTGTGAGCTGCGCTGCTACTGTTGAAGATCACATTTTCTGGAAAAGTGGCAAATCTGGAGTCCCTTTTAATCCACACTCCACCGATAGAGTGTGTGGTTTTCAATTCCTCTTCTGATTTAACTCCAAAGTTACATGGGATTTGCAAACAAGATCCGGTCAGTGCCTCCATCTTCTCTGGCGTAGTAATGAAAAAGACTGGCTCATCACAAGGGGCCAGATCACCTGTAAATTCAGTCTCATGATTAACAACATAGGAAAAATCTGCATGAAGAGAAAGTTCAGTGTTATGTGTCATGCTGGACTCTCTCCTATACTGTTAACACATTCCATATACAATATATTTCTTTTATATTTCTGTTATTTTTTGCTTTGTTTCTGAATGAAGTTGAGATTGTAAACTGTCACCAAGTAACTGAACAAACAACTCACCTGAAATGAAGAGGACACTCAGTAAAACGTTGATGGTCACCGTGTTCACAGACAGAAACTTGTTCTCTCGATTTGCAAACATGATAAAACTGTTACTTTTCATTTTTTAAACCATATCACTTGTTTTAAAAAAGTATTCATAGCCTTTTAAAGCAACTTCCTTATTTCAGATCCACACCAGAAACTTGTCTCATACACGCAGTGGATTACCACATCTGCAGAGCTTAGAAATAAAGGACAGATGTCAGTGCAGAAAACGAAGAATTGCAAAAATGAAAATTTGAATTTAAGAAGCTAAGAAGTATAATTTTTCCTTACCAAACGTGTCCACGGATACAAAATGAGAAAAATCAAGTGTTTTGATTTTAGAGTAAAATGAAGCAATTTGTGAATTTTAGCAGAACTGCACTGACCACATAACCTAGCTGTTTTAAAATTAAAGAAAGAGAACTTGCTGTGGAAGTGAAGTCATTTTACTGTGATGTTGCAAAATCTGCTCAGCATCACATGACCCCATGACCAACATACTGGTGCAATACTGGCCTGCCCTCGCTGCTTATATCCTGCAAGTAGAGACATGAGATACTATATTTTAAAATCTTTAGCAGTAGTTGTCAGATATCTGGAACAATGTCCCAACTAATGTTTCCGGAAATGTCACCACTATGTGAAGCATGTGGCTCAACGGAAGCCACCTTATTACAGTTATACCCCGTGTCCCAGTTTGCAGAACTTTTGGAGATATCCAGATTATTTTCAAAGGTATTGAGGGTGGAGATAAAACCTGACCCAGTGTTAATCACTTTAGGAATATCGGAAAGACTTAGAAGACAGCAAGTAACTCAACCTCTTTTCTTATAGACTTTGCACTGCTAAGAGGCTCATTCTTCTATTTTGGAAGGAGGAAGTTGCTACAGTTAAACTATGGCTAACTGAGTTGACAGGAATTTGAGTCACAAATGAAAGGCTAAAATACCTCAAATCCTGAGCAACACTAGAGGCAATATTATAGATGATAGTCCTGGGTGGGTTGAGGGGGGGGGTTACTCTGTTCTTGTTCTGTTGTTCATTCTGTACAGGTGTTGAGAGGACGAAGTTATTTGTTGATGGCTGATAAACAGTCCTCTTCAAGGACGTTGTATTGACTCAAAGATTCTATCAGCTCATCACAGGCCTGTATCCTTAATCTTATGAAGAACGTGTTCCATAATCCAAAATAATAATGACATATTTGAACAGGTGAAAGTATTCACTTTATACAGCTCACACATGTAATGTTTTGCTGACGTGTGCTGTAAATGTCACATTACATCAACAGCCATCTGCACTGTTACACAGCTGTATGCAGATACATGATAACACAAATGATAGAATAAGTAATAAAATGCTTTTCTCCTCCACACTTTCTGCTGTGTGAAAAGCTTCTTCACCACAAGTCTAAAGTTCAAATCTTAACCCTTCGTTTTTCGTCTCTTTAAAAACATTTTTATTCACTTCAACACATTTCATGTGTATCCACTGGAAACACCAGTATCTACAGCAAAGTAATTACAAGGTCTAAGCATCTTTTTGATATCTTAAAAACAAAGGAAAAATTAGGCACCATGAATCAGTCCAACATGCAATAAATTACTAAAGAAGATGTTTTTATGTTTACATTTTAGGCTGGAGAAAAAACTCTGACACACTAAAAAATACAAACTAACATTATGAAATGAAGCTATAATAGACAACAGAGGATGTGTTGCTCCATTTATAGTGAACATGGCAGCTTCCTCTTCTCCTTGTGTCTCATTGTGACAGACCAGTCACTGTTCACAGTATTCTGCGATGTCCTGTGGAAATGAAACAAGAAGTGAAGTTACTGCAGCTGAAAGTTCAAGTGGCTTTTACAAAAATATCTGCAACACTTAGTTAACTTGTGTTTCACTGGGTACAGGGTGACACCCACCACCAAACCACCAACAACTACTAAAAATAGACACTTAAAGATCAAGTTTGTACTGCTATCTCTGAACCTGAGACCCGTGGTTGACTTGATACAGTCCCGTAACCTTAACCATCACAACTAAATGCCTAACCTAAACCCCTTCTCTAACCTGAACCTAATTGTAACCTGAACCAAGTCCTGAACCTGAACCCTGAAACAGCCCTTCGAAAGTGTCCAAAATGAACCCAAAATGCCCTCACTTTATCTAAAGACAGAGAGTAACATCATTTGCTGTAAAGGAGCAGCACTGACCAGGTGATCCAGGTACATGCGAACAGGGAGGAAACACTGTTGTCGAGGTGTGCAGTTAGTTCAGACTCAGTTCAGTTAGTTCAGGCAGTGTGACTGTTAATATGACATTATTATTATTTTACTGTCAATGTCTCTGAGTCAGTTTTCTCTCTGTGGACTGTGTGTGTGTGTGTGTGTGTGTGTGTGTGTGTGTGTGTGTGTGTGTGTGTGTGTGTGTGTGTGTGTAACTCAGCAATAAGACATGTGACGTGTAACAAAATTAAAGCATTTTCGTTCCTTTTCTTTTGTTTTTATGTAGCTAATGAAAGTAATCACCACATAGTCAAAATTCTCTTTCTTTAGTCTGACATTGTCTCTTGTCCTTCAGCAGGAAGTGGTCTGCAGGAGGTTTTAGAAGAATATAAGACATGGAGCTACAGTACACTGAACTCTACATCACAGAGGCACACTGTGAGGAGATTATTACCCAACATGAGGTGGCACAGCTTGAGACAGCTTCCAAGATGGAGACCCTCCAGGGCACTCTAATGGTGTGCTATGACATCTTTAAAGCCTTACCTGACCAACAAAGACGCATCAGAGTCATTCTGACGAATGGCGTCGGACAAACCTCAGCGCAGAAGTTCACTCTGGATTCAGCAGGGGGCTTGGAAAACCAAGATATCAGTCTGCTGATTCTGCTTTTGTTCAGGGAGCTGGACTTGATCAGAGATGAGCAGTACAGTCATCTCATGCTGCTCCATGTTTTTCCATCCAGCATTACAGAAGGTCACAGCGTGGGCAGCTCGCTTTCGGTAAAGTTTTGTTCATCCTTGACGGCCTGGATGAAAGCAGACATTCACCAGATTTCAACAGCAGGAAGGTTGTGTCTGATGTCAGAAGGCATCAGTCGACGTGCTGTTGACAAAACCTCATCCAGGGGAATCTGCTTCCCTTTGCTCTTGTCTGGATAACTTCCCGACCCGCAGCAGACAATCAGATCCCTCCAACATGTGTTGACAGGGTGACAGAAGTATGAGGCTTCACTGATGCCCAGGAGGAGGAGTACTTCAGGAGTGACAAAGAGCTGTGCAGCAGAATCACCTCACGCATCAAGACATCCAGCAGCCTCCACTTCATGTGTCAAATCCCAGTCTTCTGCTGGATCACATGTTGACTACAGACCAGAGAGGAGAGTTGTCCTAGACCCTGTCTGATGTATACTCACACTTCCTGCTGGTCCAGACAAAGAGGAAGAAGCACAAATATGAGGAAGGACATGTGACGGGTCCACACGGAGCTGACAGACACTGACAGGATAAATTCTTCTGCAGATGGGGAGGCCGGCGTTTGAACCTATGGAGAAGGGAAACATTGTGTTCTACCAAGACGACCTTGAGCAGCATGGTCTTGATGTCACAGAGGCCTCAGTTTACACCGGAGTTTATACAGAGATCTGCTTCATTCATCTGAGCATTCAAGTTTCTGGCTGCTGTCTACATGTTCTACTGTTACAAAAAGAGGAAGACAAAGGCCTTCTCTGGATGTCTTCCTTAGGGGAGCCATGGCCTCTCTCTGGAGCCCAACCACAGGCTCTTAGGAGGCCCGCTGGGCCAGACAGAGAACAGTCAAGAAATCATTCAGAGAGCTATCAGCAACCTGAAAGAGGTGAACAGTGATGATATCTCTCCTGACAGAAGAATCAACATCTTCCACTGTCTGATGGAGAAGATGGACCACTCAGTTCATCAGGAGATCCAAGAATCCCTGAAGTCAGAGAACAGATCAGAGAAGAAACTCGCTGTGATCCACTTCTCAGCTCTGGCCTACATGTTAAAGATGTCAGAGGAGGTTCTGGATGAGTTGAACCTGTACAGGTACAGAACATCAGTGGAGGGACAACACAGGCTGATTCCAGCTGTGAGGAACCGTAGAAAGGCTTGGTGGATTCCGACATGATCAATAACATTATCAATCAGTGTTTGCGTTTGAAATATACACACGATCAACTTATTCTCATTATTCTTAGTTTTACATTGCACATTTTTTTGTGTTTTTCTTTCTTAACCCTCTGGGGTCTGTTTATTCCCTGGGGAATACAATGAGCATGTTTTATTTATAGTAACATAACTTTATTCATATGTATATCATTGTAGCTCATTTATGTCTCTAGACCATAATACATTTTCCAAACGGTGAATTATTAATATCTTCAGTGATTTGAGGACATACAAGCACAAAAATTAGTCGTGATAGAATCACTTTACATATTAAAAGAGGTCATTGTAGTTTTATTTCTTATATTTTTCTGCTGTGTTCGTGTGTGTAAGTAGTGAAACAATAATTTTTATAACCCTGAACTGTACCATAATGATATTTTGAGTGTTACCACTAAACATTTATACATTTTTATAGGCACTTGTGTCATTTTTCAAGTATTTTTAGGTTGTTGTCAGCTTTAGACTAAAAATAACAAAAATGAGAACACAAACTTGAAAAAAGAAAAAAACATCACGATATCACGTGGGTGAGGACAGATTAATGTGATATGTTAGCAGGTTAAAGGTGCTAAACAAACATAATAATGAATGCAAAGAAAGTCAAGGTCAACCTGCACTCCAGAGGGTTAATCTGTTTTTAATATTTATCCATTCAATTTCTGCCGCATATCCAGAGTCAGGTCGTGGTGCAGCAGGTTAAGTAAGGTAGTCTAGACTAGTGTCTAGCTCCAGACATATTTTTGTCCTAAACCCACACAAGAGATCCGAGATTCTCTTTTTTTCTGTCTGATCCCAAATTGAGTCTGGCGCAGTTATTGCAAGCTGTAGCACTGACTTTGTGTAACCCTGCCAAAGAGTTGTTGTTACCATGGTCACAGCTTGTCAGTTTACAGCCAAAACAGCACGTGTGGGCCCCTTGTAAATGTCCGTGAAAAGGCCAACCGTCCGTGAAAAGGAAACCGACCCGAATCTGAACATCATATCTGTACTTTTTGCCTGAACCCAGCCGGACCCGTCAGGCCTGAATTGTGTATAAGGGGGCCAAGACTAAAGCAGGCACTGAAAAACATGGCGGACACTGCAGCAGATCCAGTGAGTGGCTGCGGGTTAAAAGAAAGGTCAGATAAGCAGAGACAGGTAAGTGCAGAACTTGTGGTGTGAACTCGTGATGGTTAAACAGAAGTGAATGGGTTGTTGCTTGCTGAAGAGGTTAGGCTAGGCTTGTTTGGTGCGTTACCCAGATTAGTTGAATATTATTTGGCTTGTATGGTGGCTAAGTTCTACAATATATCTAGGGGTGCGTTGAGGCACATCATCAGTGACTCTCCAGACATAATAAGGTGTTTCAGGTCTTTGATTATCCTTACCTCAGGTGACGCAGCCGGGGTAGGGGTGTCTGATCCAAAGGCTTCCCGAAGCCTTTTCAGTAGCGTCAAGGTGCTTTGCTAGTTAGCGAAGCGTGCTAGGTGGCTTAAAGTGCTGTTTGTTGGTTGGTATGTGTTGCTCCGGCAGACTGCTGTATAAGTAACTACACACGGACCTACACAGCCAAAACCATTGCATCTTGTGGGACAATAGTGTATGAAGGGTTTACTCTGTTACTATATATATATATATATATATATATATATATCTTATATCAGACAATCTATGATATTTTACATTTAGTGTGACTCCAGTACTGCTTGACCTTACACGTTCTGACTCAAGCAGGACATGGGTGGGTGAACTTTTTGGTGCTTGTGCTGCAGACAAGCTAAATAGCCCAGTTATTTTTCACCTGTTTCTTGCACTGTTGCAGTGCAGAGATATCTGAATCTCTATATATATATATATCTTATATCAGACAATCTATGATATTTTACATTTAGTGTGACTCCAGTACTGCTTGACCTTACACGTTCTGACTCAAGCAGGACATGGGTGGGTGAACTTTTTGGTGCTTGTGCTGCAGACAAGCTAAATAGCCCAGTTATTTTTCACCTGTTTCTTGCACTGTTGCAGTGCAGAGATATCTGAATCTCGCAGGAAAAATAAGTATTTTCTTTGCCAAATCATGATACGAGCATATTAATACTTTTAGTGGAAATTTCACTTCTTGGTTTCATTATCAGAGTCCATTTAAACCTCTGTAAACACTAGGGTGAATAAAAAATACATTTTTGTTAATTTAGGGGAAAAAAAAGGGTTTGTGAGATAACTTCACAGCATATTTGTAAATGATACCATGAAAAAAAAAAACTTTTTGAATTTTAGAATTACACTAAAACTCAAGATCAAAGGTTAGTCTATAGCCCCCTCCAGTGTTGAAATGAAAATAATACATTTTGCCTCAGAGAGGCAAGGAGGAAAGCTGTTGCAGCAAATACACCATCAGGACTAAAGCTTCCTTACAAGTTCAACCTCTCATTTCTGACATGCAACTGGCCTATAATCAGGGCTTACAGAATCTCTCTTGTTTTGGATGAAGGTAGACAGTGGAGAGTACTAATGAGTACAACAAGAAAGATGAGAGTTTTCATTATGGGATGAGCTGTTCCTTAAAGTATGCTGTCTTCATTTATTTTCTGGTTTTGTTAATGAACACCTTTGGGAGCCCCCTGTGATGAGGCAGGAGCAGGTCTCAGGATGGGAGAAAATTATCAATATGACCTGGGAAAATGCTTAAAACCTCTGTTCTGGGTGTGTTGAGAATGAAAAGTTTGGAGAGCTAACTTGCTGCCAGAGGGCATGTATGGACCTAGATTTCTCTGATGTCTGTTACAGTTGATCAGTGCAGAGAAGTGGCGTGAGATGGCGAGAAAGAGAGGGAGAGAGAGAGGTGCTGTATGTGAGGACTTGATGTCAGAGTGAAGGAAACAGAGAGAAATCATGATGAGTGAAGAGAGACTGCAGCATTATGAATATTTCAGACTATGTCTCAGCACCCAGCTGTGCTCTCATTGCAGACTACTTTTATCAGTTACAGCCTGCTACGCTCATTCATTTACATGTGTGTTTTCCTGTTTACACGTTCCTGTCATTGTAGTAGATTAATTATGGAGTAAAGTGTTTGAGGCTGGAGCTTTACCAGAATTATAGTTGATTCTACAACGGGTGGCCAAACAAAATGAAAATTGTACCACTGGAATAAATCATAGTTGCACTAAATTATTATCAGTGCTACTGATCCAGTGCCTAAGACCATAATTTAGCTTTTTTATTTTTGCATATTTGATAAAGCACACTGATCTGACTTCAATTGCAAATGGTACGAGAAGTACTTAAGCTAACTATAGGCTGGAAATCTACATCCACATTTTCTCATCACTGACAAAGCACTGGCGAGGGAGGTAATAGCCTTAATGTTAGCACATGGTTGGGTTGGAAGTTAGGCCAGTGACACATCAATCAGTCTTGCATCCAAACAATTAATCAGACTTTAAATATAGTTTCTTAGTTGGCGCTTTTTAAGAATGGTTAACACAGAATTACATTATTACTATCAGGAAAAATGAGGACTATGAAACACTGGACTCACTCAAACACTGCCAGTTTCTCCTCTGTGTGGTAATTCATTTTGTATTTCTGAACACTGAGGTATCATATATTATATTAAAAAAAAAAAAAAAAATATATATACACATACGTATTGTATGTATGTATATATATATATATGTGTGTGTGTGTATATATATAAATATATATATATATATATATATATCTGCCACTGAGCTCAGGAAATGAACAGATTAGATTATATGGCTTAACCTGACTCATACTATAATAATTAATAAGCTAAGTTGGTACTGTGGATTGCATTACACAGCTTCCTGCTGTTACCACAACATTGTACTGAATAGCAACATATCAGTATTCTCAGAATGTACTCTTAAAGTTCAGCGTAGAGTTAAAGTCTGCAGCATCTCTTGTGATGCTTAAATACATTTCTAAGAGCAGCAAAACAGCAGTTAATATTCTAGCTTGCAAGGCAGGGAACAAATGTGAAGGCACTACAGTGCATATCCATTCAGAATGCAGTTTTCAAATAAAAATCTGTCATATGAATCAACAGGGGTACAGTAAATTATAAGTTTGAATATATTTACTTTTGTATGTGTGCCTTCATTGGATATTTTTATTTACCCTGTTTGTGGTTGAATGAATAAATCAACAGGAGTGTGTAGAGCACATTTGCCTGCATTATGGTCCCGTCTACTGGTCATGAATACGCAATATCTCTCCCTCTGTCTCTGTCATTTTTTCTGTTTGTCTCTCACCCTGTTCTCCGTAACTCTATTTGCAATAATATTTGTCAGAAAGATAAACTTGGCAGTTGAAAGCGTTCAACAGCTTACAATAGATCTCATGGAGTGCCTGAAAGCATGGAGGACAGATGACATAATGTAGAGTTCAAAAAGAAAATAAAGGCAGTTTTCGGACAGAATAAAAAAAAAAAGTGTTGCTGGTAATATGAAGCCATCCCTGATGAGCAGGGAAATGCTGAGTTATCATGATCATTTTCTATTGAAATGCAGATTACTGGCACAGCGTTACATAAAACCCTAGTGTGAATTATTGTGCAAAATCCTTTTCCACCACCTTACAGAATTTGATATTCTGTAATATGTTCTCAGTGAGGCACAAAAAAAGACCTCCACAGACAAGGTGAGATTTTTAGAGTGCAACTTACGCTCGGTACCCCGTACTATTGTATCATCCTGAAATAACATTAGAGTGTGCAGCCAGCCGTTGACTAGTGGTCGGAATGGGCTCCGGGGAAAAGTGATGGCTTCACAGATCAAAGCATTATACCACCATATCCCACCTGCCTGTCAAAGGTGGTTAGACAGCGGAAATGAATACAGAGAGAAAGAAATGAAGGCAAAGAGAAAGATTTGGGAGATGTGTTATCTCTTGTTTGCTTTTGCAAAGGGAAACACAGTAACAGCTAGAGGAATGCTGCTGTGGGTTTTCACGCAGCAGTCTGGATGTGTGTGGAGATAGGGCTGTGTGATAATAAATTTACCCACAGGCTAAATTTAATTTCCTTTGAAAGAGGAGAATGAAGAGTGCATTATTCCAGTTCTGTCTCTCGTGTGTGATCGGCCATGAGTTATTGGAAGAGTTCTGAGTAATGGAAGAACACAGTGGCACTTTGATTGTTGTTGATTATTGGTGTTGACAGAATGTGAGAGCCACAGTTCACACTCGGGTATTTTTATTTCTCTTTCAGTGTGGATTCCACATTATATTTAACACTTTGATTGCAGTTTTTCTACCTCTATTGTAGGACAGAAAACATAAATCAACTTACTGTAATTTTAGAGAGACAGAGTTTCGCTATTCAGCTTGTGCTGTTATTCACGACATCTGATAAAAAAAAAAGTGCCCCAATAGAATATTATTTATTTAGAAAAAAAGCCTCCAGCGATGTAGTATAGAGTGTACAATATTTCTGTGTCCCTAGAATTATTAAAAAAAAACAAAAAAAAAACAGCAATGCGACACAAAAAAGTATCAAGTATTTTATTATTTTATTAAACCAACGCTAGTTCAGACCTTTCACAATGGATTCCCTCATTCCCCTGGCTCTGTGACATGTTGCTGTCAGATTTGTGCTGAGATGTGTGGCCCTTCCATGGGCAGAAAGGGATGTAGCGAGCCCAAGAGCGGGATGAGAGGAAAGAGGTTATGCCAAAGGGGGGGTCATATACCTCCTCCGTTTCCAAGGTATTAGAGTCTTCAGGATCCATTTTGTTCCAGGTTAAGAGGCCACGCTCACGTTTAGTCCCTGAAAGGCATCAGAAACAATGTTAGAAGAGTACACCACATTTTCTTTGCAGTAATACAGTTTACATTCGCAGAACAGAACACACAGAAAATCTGTGATTTAAATAATGATTAGATATTAGCAGAGAAACAATACAACAGCAAATAATATGCTTGCCTAGAAGCTACATGGAACTGCAATAAGTCTGCCATGTGCATGCAGTGCAATTTGATTCATTAGCAAACTTTCACTTCAGCTTACCAGGAGCTGTGTTATCAAGAAGGCAGCCAAAGAACCCTCCAATAAACATATGAGTGGTAAGCAATACATGCAACACTTGGTCCACCTCTTTCACACCTGAGTCACACACAGAGGACGAGAGAGAATGTGATCAGTTCAAAACATCTTGAGTTTGATGTGCCTCACTTCCTGCTCTATTCAAGTGAAAAGACTGAATGCTAGTCCAGTTCAGTTTTTTCAAAATGACAGAATAATTTCATGTCAGTTAATAGTAGTCGAGGTGAAATCTGTTAAAAAGTAATGAAATATTCCTGTTGATTATACCTGTGTCTATGAAATTAGGATTCTTCCCGATCCAGTTTGGAATGGCAATTGCAGAAAACATGGAAAAACCAAAAACAAAGATGTTTCTGGAGGAATTCATGTCTGTGGACTGTAAAATGGGATGTGTCAGTAAAACACCACGATAAGCAAAATAGTATTTGAAATAATAGTAAAAAAAAAAAAAAAAAAAAAGTCATGCTGTTGTTTACCTGTAGATTAGCAATTCCAGCAGCGGTTATGACTCCAAACATGACCAGAAACATCCCTCCAATCACAGGGGTGGGGATGGTTGTGAAAATAGCTCCAAATTTACCCAGCATCCCCAAAAAAATCATGAAAACTCCACTTAGGAGAATCACAGTTCGACTACCCACCTGTTGTCACACAAATGCCAAGCTTTAGATCGAGATGATGTAATTAAAAACTATTTTTGATCTTGGTATGTTTGCTTATTCTTAATGGTAAACTTGGAATATTGTTTTATGGACCATACCTTGGTAATGCCAAGGGCTGCCACGTTCTCACTAAATGAGGTTGTGCCATTGCCTGTGCCAAAAGCCCCTGCCAACAAAGAGCCAAGTCCTTCAATGCCAATGCCGCGGCTGATGGCGTGCTTGGGGGGAGGAGGTGCCCCCGACAGCCTGGCACATGCGTGGTAGTCGCCCACAGACTCCGCAATGGAGCATATTATTCCAGCCATAATGCCAATTACACCTGCCAGGCTCACAGTTGGCGTCCCCCACTGACCTGAATGAGGAGTCAAACTGGTGATTATTGAAGAGTCAACAAAAACATCTGTCAGCAGTGATGTTTTTCTTCTTGTGAACTTACCAGGATATGGTAATGTGAACCAGGAAGCATCAGTCACCGCATTCCCCATCACATCAGTGCGGCCCAGGTGGCCATACTGAGCTGGATCGGATGGTAGGACATCAGAGATGGTGAGGAGGTAGCAGATTAACCATGAGACTGCAACGCCCAGCAGAATCTTATCAATATATAAAAGATTAGTCTCAGTTTTTTCAGGTAACTATATAAAATGCAACAAAAATGGTTTAAATAATAATGTTGGCATCAATAAAGTATTGTAGTGTAAACCAGTGCAAGTCATTTGCTTTCACTGCTATCACAGTATATGAGTGTATCACAAGAAGTGATGACTTTCCAAAGGACATACAGGCATTATCTGGAAGATAAGGAACTTTGAGGAATGCAGTCCCTTGATTTTGCTGTATGCAGGAAGAGGGACTGGTATGAGACGAAGGTACTGGGAGAACAGGATGATCAGCATTGTTGTCCTGCAGGTATGAGAAGAACTCTTATTGGCATGATGGTGTGCAAATTAGAGACTGATCTCATACTTGAAACTGGCCAGTGGTGACACTATCTCCATTGCAGGAAGGTCAGGCTTGTCATATCTAAATTTCAAAAGGGCTATAGACTTCAGCATTACCAGGCAGAATTTAATTTGTAACGTAATCTTGGACTGTGACCTCCAAAGAAAGACAGTCAGTGCTAAATCTGCAGCCAAATACTTCCTGTTCACTCAGTAAAAACATTTATTTTCCTACTGGGCAAAGAAGCATTCAACATGACAGCAAGTGGTTACATACATAGCAGCGATCCCCCAGTGGCTGCCAGCCTTGGCTCCAGCTGCATCGTACAGTGACAGGCCTATGAGAGATACTGTGGGGGCAATGGTTAACGGTCCAATGAAGCGCATGAGAAAGCCGATTAGGCCAGAGAAACCGAGCAGGATCTGGAGGAGAGAGGCCACCATGATTGAGCCCTGCAGCTGTGGACAGGAACATAATAACAGAGACCATTAGCATTAGCACACTCTCTCTTTGGCTGAGTGATAGACAACAAAGAAAAATAACAACAAACATGATTGGTTACTTCCTAAAGCAGAAACCATAAGAGTTCACTGAATTAATCATGAGCTCTACAGAAGTCTTTGTGGACTTGATTTTATCTAAAGCTGTGAAGGCAACGTGTTTGTGTTGGCTCACTGCTCTCAGGCGCGTCTGCCACTCTTCTATGTAGACAGGTGAGGAGGTGTTGACAATGCTGGCGTTCTGAGTCCAAGCTGGGCACTTCCATTCTGGCGTGGACAACATGGCCATGGTCGGTGTCACTAAGGCAAATGTACTCCCCTGTAGAATGGGAAGCCTACAGAGTATGACATAAACAGAAATAATTATCTGTCTGTCAAATGAATTCATGAGAAATAAGTCAATCAAAAAAGCATTTAAAGGAATGTTAGTTAACTGTTTGGCTCGTATCTGATGGACATTTTTGTTTTGATTTGCCTTGAATCTGTTTTTGTAATTAGACAAGATTGTGTGTCCAACAACCTGCACAATAATGGGTGTGAGACTTTGTTCTACTAAGAAACAAGGCTAGCAGTCAACATCCACACTAGAAGCTCTGGTAGAAGTGCTTTGAACAAAATGCTGATACTAAAAATGTTGAGTCAGCATGCTAACGTGCTCATAATGACAGTGCTAAGATGCTGATATTTAGCAGATATAAGTTAATCATCTTAGTTTAGCATGCTAACATTTGCTAATTACCACTGTGGCTGGTGGGAATATTAGTTGTTTTGCAGGTACTTGGTTAAAATAAAATATAAAAAAAAGTAGAATTACATTTTAAACAGTATCCAAAGAAAAATATGTTTATTTTACTAAATATTATAAAAGGGTTTTGAAGTTCACCAACTTAACTGCATGATTGAATTTTTAGGTTTAGAGCAATTCCCAAACAAGCTATCAGACACACTGCTCTGTACAACACCTTATGGCTAACATGTTAGCAAACATTTGCTTATTTACACATCTGACAGACAGAGAGCAAGATCAGCGTTAATTTGGACACATGGTTATTTCTGTCAGATGAATGTTCACTCTCTTTTCAGGTCTGTTTTGGTCTCTGCCTCTGAGAAAAAATTTGTGGGTCTCCAGCTGCTAGTTGGCACTGAGCAGGTTGTTTTCCCCAAAAACTGCTGCATACTGCTGCTGTAAAACAGACTGATGAGACTGATGAGACTGAACTATACAGCAAATGTGACATTAAACCAAAATATTGAGCTAAAAGAAACTAAAGAGCCAACTGCGAACTGCAGAGTAACAATTGTCTGTGGGTCTGTCACTGTGAACAAACCCATTAAGATTAAATGCAGTCATTTAATTCATGGTGAATACAAACATAGTGTAAGGTTGTTTCCATAAAATGGTGTAATTAAACTGTAAAAGTAAAAATGTGTTCCAATTTGGATCAAAAGGAATGTATTTATTGTATGTAAGCAGAGTTCATTTCAACAATGTTGATAATATTTCCTTACAGGATGGTGAAATAAACTAGCAGTATTCCTCTGACCTGATACCGAAGGTGACCTGCAACACGGTGGACAAACCGCAGACGAAGAACATGCTGTTAATGAGGCGACTCTGGGTCAGACTGTCATGCTGCAGACACAACCCCTCTGAGAGAATGAGAGGGACGGCGATGATCCCACCAAATGCTGTCAGGTAATGCTGCAGAGGGAAGGAGCAGTAATGAAAATGATGAACTGACGGTACTGATGACACCACTACAAATACTGCCAACACATGTTAAGAATAGCGGTCTAGAGCCTACTACAGTATTGTCTTCCTTCTCTGGACTGACACAAGGCAAAGAAGGGATTGCATCTAGATTTCACTGGCCAATTTCAGCGTGGGTTAAACAATGACAACATCCAGGAAATCCACAAGACATTAGAGAGAGATCATGTCACAAGTTCAAAATGAATCTGAATGCTAAAGTGGTGGGGTTACACCAACCTGAAAGGCCAGGATAATACAAAGGTACCAGGGGGGAACATCAGTCACGGAATAGACTGGTTTATTTCTGTCGTCCTCTGCTACACGGCTGCTCCCACGTGTCTTACCCGCCGTTTCTCCGGGTTGATCATTGACTTGTTCACCCATCTGCCGCGCCATGCAAATCCAGAAACAGACATAAATAAATAGATAACAGCAGCTCTCCCAGAGACATGCCATATATGCCATAATGACTATTTTTTATGACTGGTACACATATGTTTATTACTGAATTATTAGAAACATTTTGGATTGTACTGAAACAGAGACATCTCAGGTAGATAGACAGGTGGATGTTTCTCTAATGGTTGCAAATGTGGAAAGCACTAAAGCAAAAAGTAAAGTGGAAAAGCTTTTACAAATCTGTTCCAAATGTATAAGAATAACATTTTGTGATGTGTGTGCCCTCTGCATGGACTGTGTGAGTTGCTCAAATTTTCCAAACTTTGAACTTAAATTACTCCCAACTTGTCCAAACCCTCCACCACAGTGAAATAGGATTAATCAGAACTTAGTGTAGTGCAACCCTTACTATAGATCAAAATCAAAATGCTTACAGGTGCCTGGTGATTCTGACAGAGTTGAGAAAGACTACTTAAAGATTCCTGCATTCAGTCATTGTAGTTAAATCATTGTACTTACATCAAATGCAAGAGTGTTGAGCTCGCCCCTTTCCTTCCCTGAAGCCATTGTGACTACAGTAGAAAATAAAAACTTGGTGCTGGATTCTTGAGGCTGACTTCTTCTAAAAAGAGATAAATTGAAAAATAGGGTGAAGTCATCCCTACTTGAGTAGCATTTCAGTTTTTGCAGCGGGTATTATGTGTTCACCATAGGACAAAGTTTATCCAACTAATCATTTACAAATCTATGTTAATTATTACTTCGTGTATAGTGTATTTAACAAAGTGGAATTCTTACTCGGGAGGGACGCACAATTTACCCGAGGCACAATCTCATTATATATTTATATTATCTATTTTATGATCACTGACAATTTGTCATAGGGGAACTGATTAATTTAACACACCTAAAGCACAAGAGAGAGATTATATTTCAATGAAACACATAGTCAAGTGAAGTTAAGCATTACTTATACAATAATGGATGAATGGATGGATTGATAAATAAATAGGTGGACGGCTGGATTGATGTTTTTCTTTAATGGGTTGAACAAAAGTGTTATATGCAAGAACAGGCTGCCTACTTCATTCATTCACTCAATTCATGTTGAGGAACAAAACTGAACTTAATTAAGTACTTGGAAAGAACGCTGACAACTTGAGCTTGATGTTTTGTTTCATCATGGTGAGCATTTACCTCAAACTGTCACAATCAGCTGACGGGACTAAATTGGGAAGATAGTCAGATAAAGAGATTTAGGCCTTCAAAGAGAGGATGTTTCCATCACTTAGAGGGGGAAGAGAATCCGCAGAGTCGATATGATCTCTCTGTGCGACGCTGATAAATGTGTCAAGGCAGGTGCAGCGGAGCATCTTGGGAAATTATTGTGTAACAACACGCTCCATGTCTCCAGTTTTATTCACTGAATCCCAACACTGAGAGGACAGCAACACGGTCAGCTGTCCGCGCTCCCCCTCATCACTTGTCTTTGGTGTGGTGCTGGACGTCATGTCATAGCAACCGGGAGTCATTTGCAGCCCAAGGCTAATGTCTGCAAAATCCTTCGAGAGGATGTGCACAATATCTCCTCTATCCTCACTGAGACGAATTAATGACACAAGTAGAGTATCACAGGATAAGACCACATCAAACTGACACATCACTTATCTGCCAGAAAGTAGAGAGGAACTGATTAAAACAGGGCAGGCAGGGACGATCAACAGCAGCACAGCACTTTACACTTTGAGATATTCTTTGTTTTTGTAATAACGTTAACATGTGCTGTTTAAGTGGAGTTGGGCTCAGCACTTAGGGAGTCATTTATTTCCTAAAGGACACCACTTGCAGAACCACAAACTTTGATGTCATTGGCTGCGATCTAGCGCATCATTAACTCCCTGTGACATTTTTTTTCTAGATAATGTCGCTTTATCAGTTTATGACTTATTGACAGACAGCTTAATTTTTCATGTTTTGAGATTGGAGAGGCAATTCAGCCAATTTGTGGGCAGATGTTGCAAAAAGTTTTTACTCAGCTTTCAGCTCATTAAAACATCGAACCGTACTCCTTAATTTGTTATGTTGTGTGTGTTTAGGGGAAGAATCATCTATTAGGTCATTGCTCCAGCTCATGCAAACTGTACATGGGGGAAAAGAAAAATACTGCCACAAGGGACACAGTGCGTATAAAACATACTGTGTCCCTGTTTCTTCCCAGTGATTCTTCCCTCAGGAAATGTCACACATCGACAGCAGCGCTGCACCAAACAAACACACATCATTATGATATTTCATTATTCAAAGTATGACAGCCGTGGTGATGCAGCCATTTCACATTTGTACTTCAGTTGACAGTAGTGTGACTAAGAATCATGTTGCAAATGTGCAAGTAAATTTTACACAATAGCGCAGGCTATGTCTGACACAGTCTGACAGGGAAAGGTAGGCTGCAGAGATGTAAACACAGGGGTTAAAAGCTGCAGAGAACATTCAGTCAGCAGATGTCACAGCACATAAAGTATTTGTTCATGTGACAACAAGCCATTGTCTCTCAGTAGCACCTGAGGGAACAAGTAGTGGAACACTTCAGATCCTCTTGGAAGCTCTTTGTGGCAGCACAAGGCACAGTGGCAGCACCATATACCGTAATCTATTTACCTTTTCGTTCTTGTGTGACATATTTCGCACAGTATATTTCATAACTTGCTGAAAGCATATCAGGATAATATAAACTGCTGACTGTAAAGGAGTAGGTCAAATGTTAAAATGCATATGAGTAAACTTATGGCTCTGAGAAATGCTTATCTACTTAGCAGTTACTCTTATCTTATCATGTTGTTGTCTAATCATAGACATCATGTTATTTTAGATGCATGCGAGCGTATTACATCAAATATGCATGTTTCTTTCCCCAACTCTTTCAGCTGAATAAAATCAGATTAGAGGCTGAATGGCTAATACTCGTGTCCAACAGAAAGCACAGACCTTTTCAAAGCAAACAAGTGCCAGCACCAATCCATTCAAATGTGAGTCAGGGTGAGGAAAAAAAAAAAAAAAAACATCTTTGTTCCCAAACTGGCATTGATCTTGACACCAGTGTGAGCGTCCTTGCAGAGAGGCAGACAGTGCTATTGATTCAAACAAGAAACTTACTCTGTAGATTTACATTACAAAAAGCAAAATACTCCTTTGAATGAAAATGAAAAGTTTTTCGGCCTATTTTTTTATGCTGATACTTGTCCTGATTTTAGTTATTCATTTAAATGTTATTGCTTTCCCTTTTCATACATTTTATATCTCTCCCCTTGTGTCCAAGTGAGAAGCACTTTGTGACTTTGTTAGATATAAATGCAAAAGTATGCAGCACTTTTAAATATGTACAGCCGAGAAGTCACCTTTTTGAGCTTTTGTTTGAGGTCAGTATAAAAAAACAGCTTTACACTTAGTGACAACCTTTAAACCCTTGACCCTGAGGGAGAATTTAGACAAAATAATCAAATTCTCTCCTGCTGCTGTCTCAGTCCTGACTCCATACCACTTGATGTTCTCAACCTTGTGAACAGTGTTTAACATCACTGTCAATTTAACCACAGAGCTGAAGGTCACAGCAGGAAAAAATACTTCAAGGCAGCATCAATAATCTTTAATATCATGTCAATATTAGACTTAGATAATTAAGATATGACATCAGCCTGTCTGTTGTATCCTAGGGGGGCAGTGATAAAGCTATAAATCATTCGTCTTTTGCAACCAATGCATATACATTTTTGCATGTTTTCTTCAAAAAACTACAACAAAAACAACATCACTTATAGTATATTGAAATATCTTTACAATCCTACTCGTCAGCCTAAGAAGATGAAGTTGTTCTTGCAGGTATTTTGTGAGTGAATTGCAGTCCTAATTATGCAACACAAGATATTCCCCGGTGTGGAAACGGAGGGCCAAACAAACTGAGACCACTGAAATGATTACCTGTAAATTGCAGTTCTCCAGCAGACTGTGTCTTGGTTGCATTTACTCCGCAGCAATTAGTGGGGAAAATCAATGACATGGAAAGTCTGTGGTAATTTGTGATTTAAGGGAGCTCTTTAAAAAGAATGTCTCAAACTAAAACAGACACTGCACAAACCAGCCATGAAAATGTGCATTTTGATTTATTGAAAAGCTAACTGGTTTTTAATATAGTTTGATTTTTTAAAAATGTAATTTCTGCTTTTGTTTACCGTGACTATGAAGAACAAACAGACTAAGTAACTGAAGTCTTCTCTCTAGTGAGCTCTTTCATGTGACATATTGAAGTCATATTGTAGTAGTGCTGCTAAGACAGCTGCAGTAAGTCAGCAACAAAAGGATTACTGAAGCATTGAAGAAATGAAGCAAGGGAGGAATGACAGAAAGACTTGAATGTTCCTTTAAATGTGCTTTATAGTAAAAAAAAAAAAAAAAAAAAAAAAAAGGGTTCTCTCAGAGGATACGTCTTTAGCTTTGTGGTTTGAGGAGATTTCTCAAGGCGCAAAGGAGTCTACATGCAATCAGCAATCAATATGCAGACCAGGGAGATCGCACAGACCACACAAGACAGTTCAACAGAAAATGATTTAAGTTTTCTAATTCCCTTTTTCAGCTTGGCCTCACATGTTAATGAACTGTTTGATGGCCCCTGTGGAAAGTTGATATTGATCTCTCTTCTTCATAATTGTGCCTCTGCCCTCTGATTGAGTTGTGTAATAGGGCTAGTTTGCATTAACACATCAAAATCAATACCCATGATGAAAACCCAGGAGAGAAAAAGCATATGCAGCAACACTGGGCCATTAAATTTTCATTCACTGCAGAGGTTCGGTACAAAAGGTCTGTAAACATCCTCAGATGTGCGGCCGCCAATCTTTTGTTATGTTTAGGGTGATTAAATATGAATGATGAGCTGAAACAATGCAAGCAACAATGTTTTAGATAAGAGAAGCTTTGTGTCTAAAAATCATTACTGTGAACATGAGATTTATACTATACTACCAAACTAGTTTTAAATATTTTAGTAGTTATAGAAACATTACTTCTCCCAGATTAAGACAAAGTGACAGAGCCTTATTTAAAAATGATTACCATAGATGCATCATAGTACTACATATTTCCTCAATTAGCTTCCTACTTCTGTGCAAACAATCATGTCCTACATGAACACATCATTTTCTGCCAAACTCTCCCCAAGTTTTAGCTGTTTTTCACATCAGAGATCTCTGTGTTATTGTTTTTGTCCTTACCGTTCTCACTGGTTTAGAGTGGGTGGGGCTCAGTTGAGCAAAAGAGAGGAACAGTGGCAATAAAAATTGTGTGATCCCTTTGGATTGACCTGGTTTTCTGCATCAGTTGGTCATAAAATCTGATCTGAAGTGAAGTAATATCACACAGTTGTAGTCTTTTGTGTCTTTATTGAATACAGCCATTAAACATTCAACGTGCTGGTGGGACCATTGGATTTAATAACAAGTCGAACCTGCCTTGGCACCAATAACCTCAAACAAGCTCTCCTAGTAGCTGCTTATCAGAGCTGCTTCCTATAGAACTGCTTCAGCTCAGTCATATTCTTAGGATGTCTGGTGTGAACGGCTCTCTGAGGTC